GAAAGAAAATGATTTTAGTGCAAGCCCAATTCAAACCTACGTTACTCACATGAGCACCGTGGCACTTAGAGCATGTGCAAATAAATAGGCCACAAATATGGCACAGAAATAGGGAGCTGGTGTCTGATTAGATAAATTATTTTAAAACTGAATAAAACTGAATGCTTATTTAAAATAATGAAATAATGCTGAGATATTATTTTATTTTAGTGGGGAATAACAATATTCTTAACCACAGCATAAGCAACATAAATCAGTACTGTACTTCTATAATGTGACATATTTCGAAAGAAAAAGTAGGGTGGGACTTGATTTTGTCCACTGGGAATTGAATCTTGATGACGTTGTTTAGAGACGGAGCAAGGAATTTTTTTTTCTATGACATGCACTGCTAAATAATTCCCAATAAGACCAATAATATGTATTGTGAACGTATGCCAATTTTGAGTTAATCCTGACTTAATAGTCATTTGGTAATACCTTGGTGCCGCTGTAGAAGTCATCCACTGTACAGGCGTTCATGAAGCTCTCGTTCAGGTGAACACTGGTGTCAATGCCACCAGGAAGCACCAGCTTTCCTGTGGCATCTATAACCTTGGCTCCACCTGGGATCATCAGCTCCTTGCCCACCTGCTGGATAATCCCATTCTCGATGTACACATCTGCTTCTTGTGTGAAGTCATCGTTCACCACTTTACCTCCCTTTATGAGGATGCGCACCGTTGCTGAGCTGGAAGACATGGTTCAACCTAAAAGAATCAAAGAACAGAGTGTTGATGTGTATTATATAACTCTACTTTATATAGAGTCTCCACACCTTTTGACCATTAAGCAGCACAACCGTTTTTAACATTGAGCACCAACTTAGCATTTTAGAATGATTTCTGGGATCACATGATCCTGAAGTCTGGAATCACAGTCACAGAAATAAATTAAATTTCAAAACGTACTAAAACAGAAAACAATTATTTTGAATTGTAATAGTATTACTTTTTTCAGTAGGTCTATATACTCACCTAAAGGATTATAAAGAACACCTGTTCAATTTCTCATTAATGCAATTTTCTCATCAACCAATCACAGTTGCTTTTATGCATTTAGGGGTGTGGTCCTGGTCAAGACAATCTCCTGAACACCAAACTGAATGTCAGAATGGAAAAGAAAGGTAATTTAAGCAATTAAGCAGATGGGCCGGTCTGAGTATTTCACAATCTGCTCAGTTACTGGGATTTTCACACACAACTTGTAATTGTAAATTTCTAGGGTTTACAAAGAATGGTGTGAAAATGGAAAAACATCCAGTATGCGGCAGTCCTGAGGGAGAAAATGCCTTGTTGATGCTAGAGGTCAGAGGAGAATGGGCCGACCGATTCAAGCTGATAGAAGAGCAACTTTGACTGAAATACCCACTCGTTACAACCGAGGTATGCAGCAAAGCATTTGTGAATCCACAACACGCACAACCTTGAGGCGGATGGGCTACAACAGCAGAAGACCCACCGGGTACCACTCATCTCCACTACAAATAAGAAAAAGAGGCTACAATTTGCAAGAGCTCACCAAAATTGGACAGTTGAAGACTGGAAAAATGTTACCTGGTCTGATGAGTCTCGATTTCTGTTGGTAAAGTCAGAATTTGGCGTAAACAGAATGAGAACATGGATCCATCATGCCTTGTTACCACAGTGCAGGCTGGTGGTGGTGGTTTAATGGTGTGGGGGATGGTTTCTTGGCACACTTTAGGAAACTTAGTGGCAATCAGGCATCGTTTAAATGCCACAGCCTACCTGAGCATTGTTTCAGACCATGTCCATCCCTTTATGGCCACCATGTACCCATCCTCTGATGGCTACTTCCAGCAGGATAATGCACCATGTCACAAAGCTCGAATCATTTCAAATTGGGTTCTTCAACATGAAAATGAGTTCACTGTATTAAAATGGCCCCCACAGTCACCAGATCTCAACCCAATAGAGCATCTTTGGGATGTGGTGGAACGGGAGCTTCGTGCCCTGGATGTGCATCCCACAAATCTCCATCAACTGCAAGATGCTATCCTATCAATATGGGCCAACATTTCTAAAGAATGCTTTCAGCACCTTGTTGAATCAATGCCACATAGAATTAAGGCAGTTCTGAAGGCGAAAGGGGGTCAAACACAGTATTATGGTGTTTCTAATAGATAGATTAGATAGATTCTTTAGATTAGTGTATTTTTGATCAAATAAATGCAAGAGACTTTTTTCAAAAACATCAAAAGACCCTATCACAGACCCCAAACTTTTGGATATACACACTACACTACTTGACTGTGAAAAGTGTTTAATAGGCTATAGGCCCTATACTTTTGAAATAACACTACATGTCTCAACGAAGACCTTGCGCTAATCTATTTTTCCACATTTGAGCTATGGAAACCAACTGTATCCTTACTTGACGTCCAAACAGGATCAATCATGCATAGCACAGCCCAAATGTTCCACAACATTCGTTTAAAGAGGTTAAAAACCATTACGCCATTCTAGAATCTCACTTAAGCGGGTAAACTGACACCAACATGTGTGATTATCCTCAGCTTGGCACGAGTAGTCACATTTTCAACTCCAGTCCAGCTCTTAACATGTTAATTGCATGTGAACATATGAATTATTCATGACACATTAAAGCAATTTCAGCTGCAACAACATTCTAGAAATGTTGAAACACTATGTAAGTGTGCAGAATTAGAAATGATCAGAGCAATTGTGACCCAGATTTTCCAGCGTTGCATGCCCAGGGATGTGGGATTGTTAGCAGGAAATGCATGTAGGGTAGCAGCTGTTACAGCACATTCCCTGCAGCACTGCACTTTCTTATGATCTAATCCCAAGTGAAAGCATGCATGCGAGTCTATGCTGCAAAGTGAGTCGGGGGTAGGTGGGTGCGGCATATTCACAGTATGGCGCTGCCCAGGGTTCCCCTCCACCCTCTGCCCCTGATGGTGAATGGCGTGTCTATGTGTGTGCGAGGAGGGGCTACTATGTAGCTGGAGAATAAGGGTGTGTCCTCAGACATCCTACTATAAAAAGAAACAGTACAGTGCATGAGCTACATCTGTCCTGTCCTCACAGCACAGACCGAAGAAAAATGATTGGAGCATTTGTTCTTTTGCTATGACTCATGGAGGCCTTCCTCAGGAATGACCCACTTTTGAACCGTGCCATATTCCAAGAGATCCAGATGGCACTCTTCTGGGTAATATGAAGTAGTTGAAAACTTCTGAACTGTCTTGTGGAAGTTGCTTTCATTCAATAAAATGGAGCGGGCTGGACATTTAGAGTGATTTGAACCATGCAAGCATAAATAATCAGTGACATTATTTGAATATTTTTGATATATTATATTTTGCATTGAGGTATTGGGAAAATTAAGAAATGAATGGAATGGAATGGAATACATGTAAAAAATGATGAGTGGAATACAAATAAAACAAGCAGACTGAAAAATACCACATAAAAGGGAAAAAAATACAGTATAAATGTCTGTTAGATCCAGTGCACAAATACATGAGAAGCATGCAAGTCACGTGAAGTGTAAACATGAGGACAACATGTATTTAATGAACATGAACACATGTATATTCGTGCAATGCAGTGCATCGATGATGTCTTCTGATAAGTAGATTGGATGCACGAGGCTTCATTTAGAAGCTGATGATGATGATGGTGGTGGTGATGATGATGTAGACTCGTCCTATTTGGACCTTATCGAGGGTGTCACACAAAGGGGCGACCAAGCCCTTACTCCACACAACATACTCAATATGTCTCAACTCAAGGTACCATGGAATGGCAATATAAAGGACATTACCACGGCTTCATAACCGAAATATCAGATATCGGGTGTGAGCTCGCGTTTAATAATGTTTATTGCTGGTGGGCTCGCGCTGTTTATGGACACACGACATTCACGTTGATCGACTAACGTTAGATTTGTGTACATCGTTCAATCGATAATTAAACCATTAACAACTCACATTAGGAATGATATTAGACAAAACACGAGACACAAGACTGGGAATTCTTTCCATACCACAAAATTACACGATTCCGAGTCGAGCAATTCACTGTCCTAGTCCCAGTGAGGAATTCCTTAAATAGCTTACAAATAAATGGAAAATAGCGCGGCATAGTGCACTTACTTCCTTTGTTATATCCTTAAAAAGAGATTTTCCTTCACTTTCAGCGCCGGGGAACAATAAAGCCTGTTAGACGGGCAGACGGACACACACAGGCAGATGCTTCGGTTGCTCCAGCCCGGTAAGGTAAACCGTACGCTTGCAGCAGCATCCAGACAGTGAGAGCCGGGCGTTGACCAATCACAGGCGAGATTCACGGCGATGGCCTCAGCAGCGGCCAATGGCGTTGCAATATAGGCGTGTCCTGTCGCGAACGGTACGTACCATTTATACAGATTCACAGGGGATGGGACTATATTAGATCATTATGCCAATGTGGCAACCGTGCTACTGGATCATTATGCCAATGTGGCAACCGTGCTAGTTTTATACACATAAATATTATATATATATATATATAAAGTATTACATATAAATATAGATTTACGTAAAACTAAAATAACAGACAAATGTTATCAAATATAACAATATTTCATACATGACGTGTCTTTATAAAAAATATTAAAATATACATAAATGTAAAAAAAATGCAAATTACATTACACATAATATATAAATATATACATAGTTACAAAAAAGCAGAAATACCACACTGTATTAGAAAAACAACGTTAACAAAATATAGGCCAACTATTACTAATTTAATATGTACATGGACGAATATATATAAATTGTCCTCATAAATGTTACAATATATACTATATTATACTATTTATTTCCAGAATATTGTATTTAAACCATATATATGTATGTATATATATATATATATATTATAATCATATGAGTATTATATGGTAAATACTTGTAATGAAAAACAAACAACTTTTTCACAAAAAACAATACATTTATTCAAGTGTTCTCCAGCACAAGTACATAAGGAGCCTTTTTTTCTTCGTTCTGGGCACATAACGAAAGAAAGAGGGATAGGTGGCGAATGATTGCTACATTTGCTGTATGAGCTGATTGCAAAAGAAGAGAAGGTCTGAAAAAAGTTTATATGATACAACAGAGGTCACAAATATCAACAGTGTCACTGAGATATACAGAAAACCTGTTAGGAGAGCAAACAAGAGGCTGTTACAGCCATTTAAGCAAATTAAATTGAACAAAACAGAGAAGAAATAAAAATTGAAAATGAAACAAAACAAAAAACTTTGAAACAAAAGAAGGATGGAGGGCTGGATATATGGCATGGAATGTAGGACTTAGAAGCAATTCTGCCTGGATATTAAGCAAGTACATGTTAACAGCAAAATTTATTACAATTTTTTTTTTATTTCCCATTATGAGTACATGATTTCCCACAGATAAGCACCAACTACAGCAATGTCTATTCTAAAACAATATAAGAATCTTTCATCATTTATCATTTTTTCAAGTACAAAGTTAAAATGCCTTTGTTAATATCTTTATATGAGAGAGTAAAATAATAGTGCTTCTCCAATACTACAAGAAACAAACGGAGAAAAACAATCATTATCAAGACAAGTTCAATTCTTTTCCAAATAATATATTTTTCTCAATTAGATAAAATGTTTAGCACCTTAGGAAACACCTACAATCCCTCTCTTAGTACTTAAAAAGAAAATATTAAAAAGCTAATTGAGACACACTTTTGTATGTAGGGCTGTGCAGTAAAGATGGGACAGTTAAAATCACTTAGCGAACTCATTCTTTAATTTTATCCCCCGTTCGACACATATAAATATGAATTACAAAATACACCCTGTTGCTTTATAGCTTATGTCAATTAGCCTGTTGCCATTTTGTCAATTACCCCCCTCTTGCAATTTTAGTGCCGTTTTGATTCTATGATATATATTAGCAAATAATTATATTTGTACATCTCATAGTTCTTTAAAAAAAAAAAGCAACAGACAATTTATATGTACAAAATGTACAAAAAGAAAAAAAATCTGGGCATCGATAAAATTTGGAAAATAAAAGAAGAAACTTTGCTGAACATGACAAATGTTAAGGTATGTAAGCAGTGCAATGCCTTAAATGAAAAAAGAGCCTAACAAGGATTTCATTAGAGCCAGTTTCTAAACAAATTTAGCCTATATAGCTTGTGTGATAACTAAATTATTGACATGGTCAACATTCACCATTTGCAAACATAATAATGTTTTCAGATCTACGCTAGGGACCAGACGTAGTTAACGACCGTGCGATGTCATACGCAGACACCCCATCCGACTACTTTTCCTACAGGGATATTTAACAAACACACTCACTTTGGGATTATATAGCAATAAGAACTGTGAGCAGACACTTTCTCGACGCGAGTTATGATAAAGCGACTCCGTAGCACGTGAAAACACGAGAGGGGTGCTAATCGAATTCGGCACGACAGATGCATTTATTCTATCCTAGCTCATTCGTTCACATCTATTGGCACAGCCCTACTGTACACAACAAAGTATTACCTTATATAACGGCAAGAGTTTCACATCATTTAACAGAACCAAAAAAAAAGGACATTTCACAAGAATCAAGGAGAAAGATTAAAAAAAAATATCAAAGAAATAAAGAAGTATACATATACAAAAGTGCTCGATATTGTTGGTAACAGCACAAAAAATTGCTATAAAAAGGTAGAAGAACATTGTGAAGCCGCACCTTTAAAGATATGCACCTGACTGAGAATAGCGTGCGGGCACCGCAGTTGAAGGTCGAAGGTTCACCTGGCCGACAAAGGACCGACACCATCCTCCCTGTGGCCGCCACGCACGCCAAGAGTTGTACAGTAATGATTCTGGTCTGGGTGACACTAGAAAAAAAGTAGCTCACCGCAGCCTTTGATTTCAAGGTATAGATGACAAAAACATCACCGCCCATGTGGCTGTTTCCATGCATACTGAAGGAAGCAGACCTCAAAGATTGAAAGGCTGAGGTGTTTTTGTTTTTTTTGTTTGTTTGTTTGATTGTTTCTGAAAAGAGCACCAGAGAATATTGTACAAAATGGCTGTAAAAGATATAAAAATGAGATGTGGCAGACCTGGCTTGATCTGTTTGTTAAGTTTCAGTCATTCGTTTAACCTGGCGACACTACAAAACACGACCCCATGATCTTGTTTAAATAGTAGCACCACATGAGTTGCAATGTTTTTCACCACCTTGAAGCACCATATTGTCACCTATTACAGTAGTACCTTTATTACCTTCAGTTGTGTATATAGAAACTGTAAACAAAGAGGTATTCGTGATCTGGTGTTTTGGATTGGTTAAGACAAAGCTCCCCTGACACTGAAAGGAAGTCTTTTTCCCGCTCTCACCAAGGCTCAGACGCTGGAGGAGTGGAAAGACGCGCACCGTGAGAATTAGTCGATAGTCGAAAAACTCAAGAGTCGAAATGATTAAATGCTATTTCCGTCTCATCAGATTCCTCGTTTCTGCCTCGAATTGTAACCGTCTCTCAGTGCCTTAAAAGGAGGCTGTGCCTCAAGTATAGCTTGCACACATAAATCAATTCAAATACTGGATAACACTGCTAAAAAGTAAAATGGATAATAATAAAAAAATTAAATAGAATAAAAAAAAGAGTCAATTAATTCCAAACCAGAAGAAAAAACCCAAAACAAAACATGAAATACCTTCTTTCTTTTTTTTCGTTTTTTTTTATGTCGAACTTGCAAATAACATACGAGAGCTCGGTTGTGAAGCTCTTGGTATTACATCGGTTTCGATTTTTCTCATCTGTACTGGGTTTGAGTTCAGACGCAGGCAAAGTACTCTTTGAGTGGTGCAAACAAGTGACGGATGACCGGGACGCTCCAAGACCTTCCCAGCAGCCTCTGCCTGGCCAGACGACTCATGTTTGACACGTCTGTGTAATGGACAGGGAAGCCGAACACCCTAACGTCCGGGAAAAAGAGAAACGGGCAGCAATTTAGTTTTCACAAATGTGACAGTCATGTGAGATAATCTGGAAAAGTGTATAATATTTGTATTACAGAGATGGCGTATAATTTAGAACGCATTAAAGGACATTATATTACTAAAAAGTGCCATTTCAAACTTTCCATTTAAAAAAAAGTATCGCAGTTCCCACAAAAATACTTTAATAATTATAAGAAATGTTTCTTGAGCAGCAAATCAGCATATAATAATGAATTATGAAGGATCATGTGACACCGAAGACTTGGGTAGTGATACTGATTCTGGTTTGTCTAACACCACATGTTTTAAAAGTATAACTGGAAGCAACGGTGTGTCTACAGTATTTGCTTTTCCATCTGTATCCCCAAAAAGGTTGTTAATACCAGGTGTAAATCGAGCCAGAATCAAATGCACCAAATCAGGAAATAAAATTTGGTTTGTCAAACCCATTTTATTGTGTTTTATGTAGTAGACATTTCTCATTGTATTGATATGTAGTCATTTTCTGTTCTACTGGTTTCAGACAACCAGTTGATGACTGATGATTCGTCAATTTGAGATAAAATCACTGTTCACTAGGGTTTATTGGTTGGCTATGTTTTCAGTGGCCAGTGGCTATGTTTTCATCCAAAGTTGTGTATTTAACTTAAAAGCAAAATTGGAATATCGCATAAACACATCCAACCCATACAGTATGTTCAAGAGGACAAATTTGTCACTTCCTGGTAAATTGGTGCAAAATATCTGTAATAAAAGCCACTGTGGCTCTTTTTAGTACATCATAAATGGTCTACACCTCAAAGTGTGCAGACTAAATGCAATAAATGTTGTGATGTTGTCTTGCGTTTGGGAACACAATCGTGTAAGACAGTTCTGGGAGGTAGTTGTACCCAAAAATTTGACATTTTGATGACAGACTTTCAGAAAAAACATTTGAGATGCTGAGTGATGAAATTTGTCCACTGGTTACTCCATTTATCCAATCAAATCCTTTAATGGACTTATTTTTAAAATCTATGCATATATTAGCTTTTCCATCTAGTGTTTTTTATGTGATATCCCAAAATTTGCATTACATTAGGTGACTGGAAACATTTCACATTTACATTTAGTCTATAATAGCACATATACTGTATTTCAGAACTATATAACGGCATTTGGTCGTACCTCTCCATCTCAGTGCACCATAAGATGTCCTCTTTGTCATTCATGTATACAGGGAAGTGCTGGTCTTTGCCCTGCTTTATGGAATTAGACCGTGTGGTGATGGTCCGCACTTTATCAAACTGTAAAAGATGTGAAAAGAAACTGCTGTTTGTGTTGCTGCATGAACCTTTATCCAGAAATCAATCGAGGGTTTGTCTAAGGGGTACCTTAGCTGTCCTGCCATGCTCCAGACAGCCTTGAAGGTCCAGTTTATCAGTGCACATGGCGGACAACGGTCTGAGAGAAAAAGGATATAGAGAGGTGAAATGACAAAGGGAGAGATTAAACAAAGTAAATGTAGAGTCCACGTCTAACTAACCTGTTCATGCCAGGCAGGTTGCCCCAAAAGTAGCGAGCTCTGTGGGCAGCAGACACCTCCTTAGCATCGATCATCACTGGGTTGCACTATGATAAAAAGACAATATAATATTATATTGATTTAAATATACAATAATAAATTAAAATATATTCTGAGCTTTTGTAATATTGAGCTAGCAAGCATGTGAGGGGTTAATTTGTGCCTGCAGGTCACTGTACCACTAGGTGGAAGCAAAAACCTACTGCCCCACTGACAGTACAAGTCTTGTTAAATTGTGGCCGGTTGCATGAACTGCTAGTAGTTACTAAATCTAATTTTGTTCTTCAAGACCAGTCATAACTTTGTTAAGGCAGCTAGATAAAAAGGAAGATTGGATCATTTGAATCCGAAAAGTAAGACTGATTAGCCCCAAGTAGACTAGACTAATTCTTAACTTTGCGGCTGTTTATGCAACATGGTCAATAGTGCACCTCTAAAAAGCGTGAGATGTCCCTCTTGTCGCTGACGCCCATGGCCACCACATTCTCAAAGAGCCAGAAGAACGGCCGGTTGTCTCCCTCTTTCGGTCGGGCCTCATGTAACAGCCGGTAAAACTCGAAGAAGAGCCGACCCGTGCCCTCTGAAAGAGTGTGATGGATTACAAAAACAAGATTGTAAGACAGAAACTCAATATGACAATTATCATGAAAATGTACACAGATATGAACTTTGTTTCAAAAATAAGTGAACATCCAAACGTTTGGGGATGCTAATTTTAAATGCTTTTGAAAGATCAAAAATACAGTAATATTGTATATATAGTAATATTGTAACATATTTTTTTAAATGTAATTTATTTCTGTGATGACAAAGCTGATTATTCAGGATCACTACTCCAGTCTCACACCACATGATCAGAAATAATTATAATACGTGGATTTGCTGCTCTAGAAACATTTCTTACTATTTTCAATGTTAATAAAAAGAAATTGTGCTGCTTAACCTTTTTGTTAAAACTGTTAAACTATTATTTTTTCCCATTTTAAAAAAAAACAAACTTTTATAACATTATAAATGTCTTTACTATCACTTTTAATAGATTGAATGCATATCTGCTTAATAAAAATATTTTTTGCCCCCAAACATGTGAATGCTAGTATAAGTGTGTGAAACTAGTCACATCTAATTACATTGACTAATGCTGCGTTCAAGTGCTATGGAAAATAGGATATTTTCCACTTGTGAACTGGTATTTACCAGTGTGTTGCGTTCAAGTGCTTTTGTTGTCGTAATGTGGTAAAAAGATGGAGATCCAGACCTGTTATTTAGCTAAAACTATTTTAGATTGCTTAAGTCATCTGCAACAGCAAGAAAATGATTTATAAAAACTCAAAAGGTAAATAATATGCTGTATATTTTCTAGATCATAGTATATATTTTTTACCATTCACGACTCTCGCGGTGCTCTCCGCCATTTTGAAATGGTTAAAGGTTATCTCATCTCGGCAACTCGTCCATCAAAATATTCTACGAGTTGCCCAGTGGTAAATACCACATGAGGGGGTGTTCATGTGCATTTTAGACGTCGGCTTTTGGTATTTACCATAATTACCATAGCACATGATGCACCATAAGACTAGAACACACAGCTAAATATACTCCTACCAAAGAGACCTTTTCTAGCTGGATTCACGATGGACAGGTCATTGCATGGGCTTCCACCTATGACAAGATCAAACGGACCCCATTCATGGATCTGTGAAATATTGAAATAAACATGAAACATTGAATATAGTGATGAAAATTAGTGTATTAAAGGTGCAGTATGTAATATTGACAGATAGCTGAAATAGTGTCTGACAGTTATAACTTATTATTATAAAAAGAATTGTCTAAATTATGTTGCATATTCCTCCACAGTTCTTGTTATGATTTCACTAGTTGACAACATAGTACTATTTTTAGAAATCATAGGGCATTATATTGCGCAGGTGCACGTGATGCAACGCTGTCAGAGACGATAGACTCGTGTGTCAGACTCATTTCAGTGCAAAATAATTAGGTCAAAAACGATTGAATATAATGCAAACCTACTAGTTTTTTATGTTTATTTATAATTCATTTAGGCGGACAAATTACGGCGCACAATGCACAGCTAATTAATTTAACATTTTTTTTTCTAACGTCATTTTTAGTCGAAAATTTCAGGACTTCAGTCGACCAAGATTTTCTTTGGTTGAGTACAGCCCTACTGCAAACATATTATGGTATTCTTATGCTTTAGTACTACAGTAAAACAAAAATACATACAGCACCTTTAAGTATTTTGTTAAGTATGAACATAGAGGAGAAACACCATTTAAAGAAAAACGAAAGAAAGTTTGCCAAGTCGACAGAATTTAAAGTCAATTCATGGTACCATTTTAAATTCAAGTAGATAAGAGCTGTACAGTAAAAAAAAGAAGCTGCCAACAAGTTACCAAGATGGTAAACCCTGCCTTGAAATAAATTTCATATGGAACAACAGTAAACTGGGGTGAAGGATCATACTCACGTGTTTATGGGTGACGTTTCTCACGTCACCCACGTACATGATGCGTCCCAGGTGCCGAACGTGGCCCACGGTGATGGAGTCCTCGCACACTTCTGAGGCCACGTAACGCTCCACCTGGATACCCAGCTCCTTCAAAACCAGTAGCCCTAAAATAATCCCAAACCCAACAACAATCAAAAACAAAAATATTTTTTGTGCTTATTGTTGAACACTGTAATTGTAGTATGTCAGAGTATTAGTCACATGGCATTTACGGCTCAAGTGATTGGCTCAAAACAACCCAGGTGCAGAATTGAGCACCCATGAACAAAGAGTATGGGGGAGGGGGGGAGGGGGGTGTATTTGGAAATGCTACTGGATCATTTCCTTCAGGTATGACAAATGTCTTTGCTACATATACACCTAAGATGCCCAAATCTCCTTTAAAAGTTGACAGCTTGTTAGGTTTAAAGGTGCACTCAAACCTTTTGCTGGCTAAAATTGTCCAGCTTTCTGTTGGCAACTTGAACCTGATGCGAAATCTGCATAGGGAAATATTTCGCACTCACAGTAAATTCCAGACTCAGTACATTCCTTTTGAAATTGATAGGATTTTGCTGAAATCCTGAAAATTCACAGAACAATGGTATATGTGAACACATCTTAAAATGATATTATAGTGGAAGAAAAATCGTTCTTTTGCCCGCCAAATAAGCATTCACCACATAATAATCAGGCTTTAAAGGGATACTCCACTTTTTTGGAAATAGGCTTATTTTACCAGAGTTAAACAGTTGAGTTTTACTGTTTTCGAATCCATTCAGCCGATTTTCTGATATTTAGAAGATTATCAGTAACGAGACAGTTTCTGGTCTCATTGACTTCCATAGTAGGAAAAAAAATATACTATGGAAGTCAATGAGACCAGAAACTGTCTGGTTACTGATATTCTTCTAAATATAAAAAAATCATCGGCTAAATACATTCGAAAACGGCAAAATCCAACTGTTTAACTCAGGGGGAGTGATAAAATGACCCTATTTCCAAAAAAAGTGGAGTATCCCTTTAAGTACGAATAAGGACCTGGAGCTCCTCTGTCCTGCAGAGTTTAGCGCCAATCCTATTCAAAATACAAGCTAATCAATGTTTTCCGGATTATTAGGGCTACCGGCAGGTGAGTTTTTTCAGGGTTGGAGCTAAGCAAGACCTATCCCTGATCTAGGGTCAAATCTCTGCCGTTAATCCTCATAATAAAAATCACACATTCGAACATAAGCAGTACAGCAGTATCGATGTGCGGCCAGTATAACAGTTTAGCAAAGTGCACTTTAAAAGCCAGGATGAGTGTAACGTGATCAGCACTATTTTCTGCTGAGAGGATGAAAGGAAGGGCGGACATTCTTCACTAACCTGTTGCGATCCCATCAAAAAGTGACAGGACACGAATCGGTTTTCTGTTCTCTGCCAAAACCGAAGGGTAGAGCTTTGGTGGTTCCTGAAAGACAAGAAAGAAGATGAAATGAAGGAGGGGGGGGGTGAATGAGAGACAGACAAGAAGGACAGAGAGATAAGACCTTTAAATCACACTGCTCTGGTAAAGAAAGAGCGCCTGTCTGTACATACTGTCTGTATCCAACAAAGAGGCCTTTACATTAAACCAGTCCAGTAACAAGGGGTTATTGTTGAGCACCTGTACACTAACCGCAGTATCGCCGGCCAGTTTCATTTAGCATTTTCTTGTGATTAAGTGTGGCTGCTTATCTTTGGTCTTTGTTAAACGTTGTAGTATTCAATAACGCTAACAATAGCAACCGCTCGCTAACCTGTGCTGTAACCGATTTAAAGAGTGGGGTGTGTAAGCTAAAACTCTATGATGTTAAGATGTGTACTCAATGCACAATGCACTGTGACTGTAACACTCTCTGGCTGCTTTTCCAGCACACTGGCCGTTATCTAAGCTGCTCTTTCACATGGTCTGGAAAGCAAATGGTTTAGGAGTTGTATAATTACATCATAAAACTCTCAAACCATTCACGTTTATACTAAATCACACCGGTTTTGATTCAAATTGTCACAGCTGCTCAAACAACGCTAAAATTGAAAAAGTCTATTATTTATGGCTTTAATGTAAATAAGAAAAAAAATGTATTAGGGTTGGGAATCTTTAGTCATATAGCATGCATTCACAGTGTGATGCCAAAAAGGTTTTCCATTAACCCTTGGTTACTGTTCAAGATTCACATTTCCATGATTTTCCATGGATAGGCTTTTTCAAAAATCATTTTATAGAGACTACACAGAAAAAGAGTAATTTCTAGAGCTGAACATACTTTAACTAGAATAATCTCTATTGACTACAGAAATGTCCATGACATTTCTAGGCCTGGGAATCATATTCAAAATGTAAAAAGAGTTTACTCTCGCAGTCTTCAGCCGACAAATGTCACTTACAAAGTCCTGGTCATGATTGTTGGCAAAGAAGTGCTGCAGTCTGCAAGTCCAATCTGCCCGGCGCTCCAACAGCCCATACTGAGCCTTCGGCCCACACATATAGCAATTCCACGGGTCTTCTTTAATAGCTGTCTGCGCCGCGCCGGGCCCCACCAACAGATCCACACATTCAACACAGAAACACCTGCAACAGACCGAAAAAACAATGGAGACACCAATGGGATTGATGCAGGATTGAAGAACAAAATGTAAATATTACCTCATCTCACCTGCAACAGTTATTGTTTCCGCACATGAGCACTTCCCTCCCTCCACAGCAGATAGTGCAATACGACTGGTAGCCATCGTCATCGTATTGATACGCACATTCTAGGAAGCAGTTCTATGAAAGGACAAACAGATTAAATATTAGTTAGTTTGTATAGAAGAATACATGGTTGACTAAAAACATGGAATAACAGAACTGTTTAAGAACAGAGGAGAAAGTTTTGTGGTTTTATTTGTTTAAAACAGAAACCTATACGATATACTTGTGAGATAATCTCAATTAATTTCATATATTACAATACAATTCTGGCTAATATTAAAATGATGTTTTAAATGGTTGATATTCAAAATCTACACTATTTTCTAAATACATAAGAACACAACATTATAATGTACAGTATAAAATATGAAACTACTAATTTAGATTTCTGTTAAAGTGTAAGATAGTACTACTTAATGACTAAATTTAATCTAAAAAAGTAGCCTGGCTAATGTCAGACCAAAGTCTCATTAAGATTAGATTGAGATTGAGGCTACCCAGTAAAAACTTGTTTTTAATTATTCAGTTTGGGTGAAAGTTGTGTATTATAATAAAACAAACTAAAGTAAACTAGCCAATAAACCCGAGTGTGTGGTTTATTTGTGTTTTGTTTTTTATCCACGGAGTTTTCAGTCTTGTAAACATCGAAAGTAATCGAAAACTAATATATTGGAGCCATTTTCTGGGTTGTTTTTGCAAATGTTGTATACCTCCCCATAACAATCTTTCAAGACTATCAATGTTATAAATGACCAACTTCTAAAAACAAATGTATAGTTGTCCTTGTAAAAAATTGCTCACATATGTAGCTAATAAAATTGCACACTTTAACTTTAAGATTTTCCTACTCTACTAACTTTAGTATAACTCTCTACAGCTAACATCTTTTACTCCACTAACAAACAAACTGCATTATCTAATAACTGCACTGACTACTAAATAACTGACTGTATTTGCTGTATGTGTGATACCTAGTTTGTTGACTCATTTTGTCTTAGTTTTGATTTTAATCTACCCTACTGGCACAATGATTTGCCTTTATATCCCTGCAAATGATCGAATACAGCACCCAGTGTGTAACATTTGTTAGAAGTCACTGACAAAAAAAGCATCTGCCAATAATGTAAATGGACATGACAAAATTACAAGTGGGCAAAATTACAAGTGGGCAAACAAAGCAGTGCTTTAGGAAGTAGGAAGCAGGAATTTCCTGGCTTTTACCTTACAGCTTTGGCACATTCCGCCAATAAAGAGCGGGTGCTCCAGGGAGACATTAAGGCTGCCACAGGACATGCAGATGTCTGGAAGTGTTCAAAGAGAGAGAGAGATTTTACCAGAGACTAACATTGACAGTCAACAATGAAACACTTCTCAATGTGTATGAGTAATACATACCTTCAATGTTTTTACATTTTTGACGAACTTCAAATACAAGCCTCTCTGAAAAACAACAGACAATAAAAAAGACATTTAAATATTGGAAAATCTTCCAGTGTTTCAGACATTTGGCTCATTTCAACCTGACTTCTTGTTTAACGGAAATTCTAGTGGTTTACATTTACATCACTTTGACAATTATGTAATATTCAAAACAATGTTTTACAAGGATGCCATTAATTTTATGAACTGAAATAATGTTCCTAATTGTAGTGGTACTACATATTAAATATGTCAGAAATAACTGATGACAGACAGATGAATTATTGAAAATCAGTTAAACTGAATAAAAAATTATGCAAGGTTTGGAGTCATTTTTTTCAGTTGCACATTAATGTTAATTTTTTAAAATTCAGGGAGGGAGAACCAAAGTGGACAGCGAGACGTCTCTCGAGACACAATCAGATCCACTTGTAGCTGGCCTAACACCCTCCATTCCCAGGGCCTCAGCCACAGTCTCGACAGGATGTCTGCTCCTACATTCTGGGCCCCAGAGATGTAAGCTGCTCTGAGTGACAGGAGGATTTGGTGCGCCAGTTTGCAAAGTGGATGCGAGCCCAAACCACCCTGGTGATTTATATAGGCGAATACTGATGTGTTGTCTGTACTCCTAATCATCCCCATATACTGATTGGCTTCATCACTGTTTCCTCTCCACCAGTAATCTGGTGTGTGGTAGGCGTTCTGGCGCAATATGGCTGCCGTCGCATCATCCAGGTGGATGCTGCACATTGGTGGTGGTTAAGGAGATCCCAACCCCTCTATGTGAAGCGCTTTGAGTGTCCAGAAAGGCACTATATAAATGTAAACCAGTCCATAGATCTGATCTGTGACACGAACATTTCGGCAGAGACCGCTGTGCCCTGCAGCACATCAGGTGGCAGGGTTGGCAGAACAGTCCCCTGAGGGCACCGAAGGGAGACAAGCAACATATAATGAGGTGTTGACTGCTCCGCTTCGGGTGGGCTGCCCTTATTGGCCTGAGCCCTCGGGCGTCAAGACCTTTTCCCAGCAGCCTTCTTAGAGATAATGAGGGTCCTCAGATCCGTCTTACCCTTCGAAGACTGCGGGTGAGAGCGCCCTCCCTGTCCCCAGCCTTTCTGCGGGGGGAGCACGGGAGGCAAACACTCTGCTTCTGGGTGACATGAGAGCAACGCGGTAGGAGCTTCTGGAAAGTGGCCGCCTGCTTTGCTGCCTCCTGGAACCTCTCGACGACTAAATTTACAGCGTTGCCGAAGATTACGGGCGCATCCATAGATTGCCACAGAGCGGCCGATGGATTTAGCCGTCTCCTCGGTGGCCCTGAAAGATAAATCTGTGGCTCGACATAGTTTGCAAACTATGTCAGGGCCAATTCTCCCACCCTCATCCATGTCTCCTAACAGTTCAGCTTGGTAGGCCTGCAGCAGCGACACTGTGTGATGGCATGCTGCAGCCTGACCAGTGGCTGAAAAAGTTTTACCCACTAGTGATGATGTGGTTCTGACTGGCTAAGTGGGTAATTCCTGACCGCTTCGGGGAAGAGATAGCTCACAAGCGTCTCTTCTACTTTTTGGCATCTCCCCATAACCGTGCTCCTTATAGTTAGATAAAGAGGAATAATTGGATGTTTGTGTACTATACACTCTTTATGAAACCAGTTTCTCCCACGGTCTCAACACCTTGTGGAAAAAACGGAAGGACCGGGCATTGAGGTTGTGACCGTGATGGTCGGAAGCGTTCGTCCAGTTTATTATTGAAACAAACGTCCTGTTTATCTGCTGGCCAGTCAATACTTTCAGTCAAGTCTTTCAACCGCTCTTGTCACAGCCTCAACCAGCTCTTCAAATGCATGAGACTGAGGTAGTGAATCCTCAGAATCTCTTGCATCGACACTGACAGCATCCAGTTCCTCAGAACTAGATAGTTGCCGTGTCTGTGCCTCAATCAGGGCGGAAGGAATTGCAGCACGTGCTTCCAAACCTTGAGAGAAGGCACTGGATCTATCAGGTGAAGGCAGAGATAAGCCTGGGCACATCTCTTACCCCGCAGATAGATCAATTTGCAAACCCCATGTCTGTGATCGCCAGATTGGGCCCAAAAGCTGGAAACCCGACTATTTTTTAATACGTGGGTCGTTATAACTGACGTTCTCAACTACTTTCTATATTACTTTCTCCCGCCCGCAAATAAACAAAGAAGCAAGAGTGCTGTGAATGAATGAATGAATGAAAGGATTTGTTTTCAACTGTTTAAAATGTTTGGGTCAGTAATTGTTATTATTATTATTTGAAAGTAATACTTTTATTTTAAACGTTACACACTTTTGGACAGTACTGTATATTTTATTATATTTTATATTAATTATATAGTTTGCTATTACATTTAATGCACAATATAAGACTTTATTTTACTTTATTTAAAGGGGACGTAGTTACACGTTACTACATGTACTACTTACTATAAATTATGCATGATTACAAGTAACTAAACCTAAACCAAACCCTAAACATAACTCTATAATAAGTACATGTAGTTAATTAATATTACTCAGTACTTATTTTAATAAGTACAATGTAACCATGTCGCCTTTTACATGAACAACTGAATTGTTCTAAGTGGAGTGAAACTCTTGGCTTTATGTAACCCACAAAGGAGATGGTGCAAGTCTGCTCCAGTTTACCTCTATTTGGTTGGTTAATAAAGCTCCATGCTGATTTAACAGCTCCTCTCTTTATTACTACCGCTAGGTTTTCCTGCCTTAAAACATGGGCATACATTTTCTTAATATAACAATAACAAAAGGATAATATGCAGGTAAAAGTGTTATCCACAAAAGCTATGTTTGAACATGTGCCATAATTCAATACAAAACATGTCTCTTTAAACTTGTAAGATTAGCTCAGACCCCTGTCATAGTTCCAGACACACCCTCCAGTGTTTACTCTGCCGACAGAGCAGATGAGAGCGCTAATCCTGATTTAGCTTGTGTGGGTGTGTGTTTACGAGTGAGGAACTCTTTGAACTCGCTGACCTCACTGAGTGAGAGCTCACCTCGAGTTCGCTCGTCGATGATGTCTTTGACCTTGGGTTTCTCTGTGGCTGTGCTTTTGCGGGGCTTTTTTGCTGGTGGGGGCGTATAGGCCGCCGCCTCTGGCTCCACCCACATCTCTGGGTACACTTCCTTGTAGGGGTTACGCTCCTCTGAAAAAGTCACAATGGTACGTATAGATATTCGTTAATGGATTATGTGGTGTGTCTATGTAAATATCCAGAGGTCAGGATTGTTTAGATTTCACCAGTATTTTCTTACAAGCTAAATTCCGGGAGGACTGGCATGTGTACAGGCTTAAGGGGAAAAAAAGTGCACTCAAAAGTCAAAATTCCCCAAAATCACTGAACCGAGGAACTGAGACTATCTGAAATCTCACCAGATTACATATTTCTGGTTAAAAACTATGTTAAATAAAACAAACAAAAAACATTGAAGAAAAGATTAACTATTATAGCATGGAGAAACTCATAGTGAACACCAAAAAAGGATCATCAACCTTTTCGTTCACTAAAAATTCCAAGCTTTCTGAAGCCATAATGAGCTTTGAGGGAGGAACGTGCAGAAATTTAAGTCATTAATCACTAATAATCTTCACTTCAAGTGAGCTGTCGATTATTGAGTGATTGAGTTGGGAACAAATCAGTTCAGTTTGTGAATCCCATCCACTGGTTCAATGAGAAGAACAGGCTCAAATTAACGATTCATTCACTGATCCAGGTCTCATGTTCAAATGTATCAGGTTCTTGAGTTAAAAGTTCACTGGAGGGGAAGTTATAATGGCTTAAGTTTTATTTGAATTACCACAAAAAGCTATATTTGGAATTCAGAAGATGGGACCACTTTCATGGTGCTTTTCGTTGGGAGCGGGTGCATTTTTGGAGATTAACAAATTTTATCAGTAAGATTTGTCATTGTAATAGAGATGCATGAAAATTATATAAGTTTGTGTACGACTAAAAAATAAACAAAACTCTTTTTGTGTCCCACTGAACAAATAGCAGCACATGAGGGTGAGTAAATGACAGAAACTTCATTTCTGGGCAAAAAAAAAAGTTTTCAAACTTTTTCAAAGTTTTGAAAAAGTTTTTTTTCAAAACTTTGAAAAAGTTTGACATTTTCCTTTGCAAATCAAGCTGATATATGTATATCAAAAAGAAATCGCAGCAGTCTTACCTTCAGGTGGCTCTAAACCTTTAGGTCCTGTGGGTTGAAATCCCGTCATGGCCCATTCAATCATCTGTTTGTTTTGCATGTCTACTGACTTAGAAGTGTCAGTATCGTCACTCTCCGGGCATGCGAGGAAGGTTTTGCCTGCTCTAGTGCTGGCTGCCTGCAAGGAAGTGCATATAGATTTATGCTAATCTGAGATATTAATAGGGAATTTAATATACAAGAGAACAATAAACTAGAGACAAAGAGCTTTGTTTAATAGTTAAACGTACCACAAATGAATTCCTACCTGTAGCACCTCAAAAATGGCTTTCTTATACATTGGTTGTTTATTGTAGGTTGGCTGGTGAAAGGCGTTGGTGAAGGAACTCAAAGGCAACAGTTTCTCAACACAGACCTACCAGAAAATATGGAAACAAAACAATACAACCTCTCTCAACAGCAATGGTAGCATAATGTTGAGTACCAGAGAAAGAAAATGTATTCGCATGAACTTGAATTGTTTCCTGAACTTTAAACTTTGAACTTGTTTTACACCTTCTGCCACAAACTTACCACAGAAAACTTGCTGTCACCAAACCACATGACCCATCTGGTGCCTTCAGCCGCCCGGCTACGTCCAGTCATCAACCAGGATACAATCCGTCCAGGCCACCAGGAGAAACCTCGTAACTTTCCCCACACAAGCTCACCAATGCCGAAACCTCGGCCATCCTGCAACATGATACAACCACAAAAAGGATCAATTTGTTATTTCAATCACTTGACATAAATACAATTAAATGTGTACTGTTCATTACCTTACCTTTGTCAAACCATCCCCAGAAACCACCCCCCTCTTATTTATTTTGTACTGTCTTGACTTTCAGTCTGTAAAATAACTCTTTGGTGATTGCTATAAATGGGCAACCTTGAATCATGAGACTTTAACCACAGTTGTTGTGCTAAAATGCTGGTGTAACCATCCTCACAAGGTGCTTTTAAGTCTAAAGGTCACATTTACCGTTGTTCTGCAAATGTTTGTGGGTGGTAAGAGTGAAAGTTATCTGCAGATTTTGCAAAGGGTTCACACTGTGCTTCATCTCTAAACTACTGACAATAGACAAATGACCTTTTTTGCCCACAAATTTTGTAGAAACTTCTCTACTGTGACCACACTTTAAAGCAAAGTCCTGGACTACTATAGTTTCAAATTGTCCCCAATCTACATATGAAACAAACCCTTCAGCAAAAGACAGACCCAAATGTTCAAACATGGCTTTCAAATCTGGTTAGCCAGATAAGTTCCAGGAATCAGCAAGCAGGTGTCACTGTCAAAAGTTACATTTCTGCTTTGATAATGACTTGAAGCTTTCTTTGAACAACAGTAAATATCGTGTTCATCCTGGAACTTATCCGGCTGACCAAATAAGCCACAATTGGAGAACGAACTACACAAAGCATAGAATATCTACAGCATACTATTTCAAAATGATTACGATGAGGATGATGAGGAAGCTACTCGTACCTCGTACTCGGACTCTGTGTCAGCGGACTTGGATAAGGTCTTGTCTCCATCCCCTATAGAAACGGGCTCTGGGGTGGTGGCAACAGTTGGAGAGGCTGGATCTGTAGGCTGCTGCTGCTGCTGTTGGAATGGTGGAGGTTGCTTCTGAGGAGAAGGCTGGGGTTTGATGTTGGTCTGAGGTTGAGCTTGAGGCTGTATCGGTTGCTGCTGCGTTGGCGGCATTGGTGGAGCAAAATGCAGTGGGACGGTGATTATGGAGCTGTCTTTTCGGGGCTCCGTCTCTACCTCGCCATGGTCCTCCATTGAGTTCATCGCAGACACCAGTTTCGCCTTCTTCTCTGCCTGCAACGTAGGGAACAGCGGGACAGGAAGAGGAGGAGGTAAAGCACACAGAACAGCAGTGGCTTTCCTGAGAATAGCACAGTTCAGCGCTTGAGTAATGACGACTGCTCGGTTTGTTTATAGTTCTTTAATCCCACGTGCCAACACAAATATCCCCATCCTCTTGATAAAGCACAAGTGCCGCCCCTTTGAGTGTGATAAGTGGCAGAAACCTGTGAAAACAGTCCCCTTTTCATTGCAGTGAATGCTGTTTGCGATCACTTCGTAACAATGAGTGCTCACCCCGCGGCTGTGATTGATGCGCGCTGGAGAGTTCAGCGAGTTTGTCCAACCTGACTATAAGCTATTAGGTCAAAAACAGAGGACACGAGCCAAGCCATGACTTAAGCAGCTCACAGCAAATCCCCAACAGCTGCACCTCTCTCGTCCTCTCGTTCTCTCTCACTCGCACGTGAATCTCTTTCACAGCTGTACTTTCTCTGCTGCTGGGGTCCGACTCCATCTCCAATTACACTCAAGCACACGTGAACCTGGCAGAGTCGCCCATGTGTGTGTGTCTGTGTGCAGAGAAAACGGTTGGATCCGTCCCCAGAAAGCTCTCCCTATGTCTCTCTTTAGCTCACTCCCTCCATTATGGTGGCTATACATTCATATAAGCCCGCAAAAGGGGGGGAGAGGCTCTGGAGCCAAGAGCTCGTGAGTGTGTATGAATAGACAGTATGATGGTGTGGAGTAGAAACATGTGGCCACAAATCAAGAAGCCCCACAGTTTATAAATATCTGTATCGTTTCACTGGCTGCTTCGATGAGCTGGGCCATATGTGCCAGGCTGTTTGTCTTTGACAGCGGTTGATGGTGGAAAGAGTATTTAAGTGTATGCAAGCCGTTTTGTGCAAATGAGCATGTATTTATCTCTGCAGGACTGGGCGGTACAATGGCACTGTATATACCAGTGGTTCTCAACCGAGCCTAAGTAAACCTCCAAGGGAGCTGCAAGATGTCTTAAAATAGTCCTTTTTAAAATGTGTATTGCACTGTTCATAATACAAACAAGTTGAGCCGCAATATTTATAGTTTCTGGTCCAATGAATACAAGCTGTTTTGTCGGTATTTTAAAAAAAGAAAGTTGCTGTCCACTGCACCCAGTCTTCAATGTCCTTAAAACAACAATTGAGAATGTGGTATAGACTAGAGGAAATATAAAGCTGTGACAACAGCATAACAATGAGAAAGCTAATTCCTGATGTCCTCTAGGAAGCCTGTACAAGGAAAACTACAGAGGACCTAACACAGAGCCTTGGGGGACCCCATACTGTATTGAACAAGATACTTGTTAGATTTGACAGTTTCTCATTTACACAAACAAAACGGTAGCAGTCAGAGTGGTAGCAATATGGAAAATGGATTATATAAAAGATGTAAAGAATGTCTGCTGTAACAAATGGATCCAAAAAACAATGTTTTGAAGTTTAAATCATTGATCACTATCAATTAGTTGGTAAATATCAATTAGTTGGCCTTTTCATTGCTACAGATTTTCAAGAAGATATATCACAGGCTGTGCAGAGGCGCCTAATAATATTGACTTTGACAATGGGGGACCTCAGAGGCACAAAAGTTGACACCCACTGTTACATACCATGCAATTATAACAGTGTTTAAATGCTGCTACACCGTTTATACCATTTTAGGTATATTTAAGGGGCTATCAGAGGGCAAGACTGTTACACTACTTTCATTCCCTTGTTTTTTTAATGAATATAATATTTTTTGCGTCAAACACTACTTTATCGTGATGTCTACTGTTACCGTAATAAACAACTACCTATAATATGTATATAAGATTATCTGCCATAAACCAGTAGCATGATTTAACATTGATGTAATCTTAGTCCAATCATTTGAAACCAAGCATATAAATGGGATTAAATCAGAATAAAATTTAAATCTGAAACTCTTATCTAAGTAAAAAAATCCTGACTGATTTCATCTCACATGCTCAGTTCACTCTAAATGTACACAATTTACATTTCCACACAACGAGCTGCACTCACCCTATGTGAATGGAGAATGATAAAAACACCTATATAAAACTGACACATAAATTCTTACTATCTACGCCTTACTTTGTCAAAGCCATCACAGATACCGCAAGACTTTCGAAACTGCTCACAAATAATGACAGAGGCGGCCAATACTGCAGGCAACTATTGTGTATCAAATTGTACAGTGAGTGGGAGAGAAGAATGTCAACACTGGGGGATGGAAAGGGTTATTTATATATATATATATATATATATATATATATATATATATTATGAAAATATCAATAGAAAACTGACTCCCCAAAAACTGGGGGAGGAGAGGAAAACACTGCGGCTATAAGTGGAGATTTGCTTCTGGACGTGCTTTTTTTCCCCCCAGCTGTAAATGCCCCTCTTCAGGGGCCTCACTGTAGCAAGTCTGGCTCTTGAAATTGAGGAAGGGGGAGATGAGAAGGAAGGAAAGGGGGAGGGTTCCAGGAGTACAGTACTTTACAGTCTTTGTCGGCCACAAACACACAGCCCAGCTCAGGAATAACAACATAAGCAGTATGTCATTCACAAGTGAGGGCAAGGTTGTTGTGCACAAGTAGAGAATAAAGTATTACAAGATACTGCGAAGAAAAAAACACAACAAACAGCAACTATTAAAAGAAGTTGTACTATTGGAATACTGAATTACTGAGTAAATACCTTTATTAAAAATAAAGATTATTAACAATTCCAAAAATAGAAAGTGTCCTATTTGACAGACTAGTTTGCTGTATGGCTATCCAATAGATAGAGGAACAAATAGGATATTGTACATTAAAACAAGTTTAAAAACAGATATTGAGATGCATATAGAGAAATTGTTTTTGAAACTAGTACTAGTCTTACATTTTGTTAACCATCTCTCATATCCTCCAGCCACTGTAATAAGATTTAAAACTCTGACTTTTAGTTTTCTACATCAGCACCAAGAAAACTTACTATTGAGTCACTATGGGAACAAAAAATAATGCTATCTTTAAAACTTTAAATTAAGCAAAAGAACACAACAGAGAATAATCCAGGAAGTGATAAACAAAACTTTTCAGCTTCAACTCTATTCATTGAGTAGTACTAAATGGTGAGAAGGGTAACGTTGTGATAAAGTGTTTTAAGCTCTATGTTGAAACTGGCGTTAGGAGCACTACCTGTATCTGAAAGGAAACACCCATAGCCTTAAGCTTCTCTCCACATTACAATGATCAACCCAGCGTCTTTTCTAACCAAGCTCCTCTGGCAAATTCCGCTTTTCCAATCTTATTGTAATTATTTATATAACATGACATTTCAAGTACAAACCAATTCCACAACCAACTAATGCAGATAAGAACTTTGTGCATGTCGGGCCATTAAGATGTTTTGCTGTTCATATAGCCATGAAAAGACAGCATTACTTAAACAATATTGTTTTATGGCACACAGGGCTCACTATAAGGACTACCTGAGGCCAGTGTGAGAGAGTTTCGGCTCAGCTGCATTCTCACCATGGCCCTTGTTACACATGGTATTAAAATGCGTTTTGGTCGATCGGATCACAAGTGGACGACGCTAAATACAGGTGTAAATGGGGTCTAAAATGTTTTGAGCTTGTACACATTTGACCACTTCCAGAGGTAGTCGAAAACCCATTTGACCTGATTGCTTTCGTAGTGTAAATGCTCACGTGGTTGAATGTGTTCGAACAGCTGCAAAAGACCACCTACTCTCCACCTAAAGTGTAAAAATTATGGGAAGTGCGCTAGCCGGACAGGATTTAATTTGTCACCTGAAGCCCCAAGTTTAGTTTGAAGACGAAAAATGTACCAAGCACAACGTTCTCTCACCATTCCTAATTTCATGCCCTCACAGAGTTCAGCGTGGCCTGGCAGCTATCGGAACGCAAATGAAAGTCTTTGGACGCGTTCATATCTAAATTGCGCAAGCTTATTTTGTCCATTAGGTTGAAAGATCTGAAAAAAATATATATTTACTTGCCCATAGACCCTCCCCTTGAAAAAATCAGGACAGAACTGGTTGAAAGTGGACAAAAGTGACGGATTAAAACACAAGGTGTAAACAGGTATGTGTCTCCCTTGTCTACCTACCGATCGACCAAAACGCATCTTAATACCAGGTACCGGGTGAAAACAGAGCCTATGTCACATGTTTGTTGATCTTATACAGGTCTTACAAATTTAAAAGTTTGGTTTTCTGTGGTAAAATTAATATTGTCGTTATTGATATAAATATGTCAACAGGCTAATCTTATCAAGCTGGCTAACAAAGATGAGTTGTTGTTTTTTTTAGCATGAATGTGGTAAATCCAACATTGCAATAATGATAGTTTTGGGAGCATTAGTTTTGGTTAAAAGTTATAAACAATAGTGTATTGTCACATCACATGCAGTGTAAAAAGTTATAAAATATTATAATAATTTTATTATTTAAAAAACAACTATAAAAATATTTTATAAAACATTTTAAGAAGTGTAAAAAGCCAAGCTTTTCAAACACAACTGATGGGGAATCAATCTGAGGAACAAAACATTTTCGAACTATTAAATGATGTTTCTCTTAAACTTTGAACAATATGAGGAATTAATTCCCTTCAAATACTGGCGGCACACTGAAATTCCAACAGGCAGGGGATGAATGGCTATCGCCACTGTGTGACAATCGCATTTACGTATTTGGATGTGACTTTGTGAGCTATTGAACAAAAGCTGTTCACTTTTTAGCCTCTCAAGTCCAGAGAATAGAGGATGCATTTAGGTTGCGATTGTGCTGGGTCCATTAAAGAATCCGGTAATTAGCAGTGCAGCAGAGGTCAGGCATGCTAAAAGAGTTTCAATGCACTTCCAAGTTTCTCTAAATGATTTTAGTCTGAAATCAGTCATTTCCTTAAGATTGCAAGTGTAAAAGTCTGCCTGTTTCAGTCTGTGCAGCCTTGAGTACGAGCGAGAGCTGGCAGCGCACTAATCACACGCGGTTCGTGGGTTCACTCGGTTCATTCATATTTGCATATCCTTAAAAAGACACACACCGCATTTCCGTTTCAACACAAGCTGCCGCCAGTTTTACGTGTTTACGGTGCCGACCCAAATCTGACAGATGGGAAAAAAAGCATTTGATCTTTGTTTTCAAGCTCAAAAGCAAAACTTCCCTTTTAAATAACTCTTAAAGCATCATTTTGAGCTAAAACACATTACGTCTCTTGTGCAACCCGACTATAAATAACCACAAAAAAACACTGTCAGATCACAGCACTATTAAAAACCAAGTATATGTGCACAAAGCCAAAGATATGCCCTATGCACAACATCCTGCAAGAGGCAGTAAAACAGGAAATACATTCAGCTATCTGCAATCCCACTGTGATAACATACAGGCTACAAAAATAACCTTTCAAGCAAACTATGACTAACTTGTCTTGTACTTGCAATGTTTTTAGCCCGGTCCGACACTCTGGGTTTAAAGAGATGGGTTTCCTTTAAGCTAGCCGGGGCAGATGGTCCGTAACAAGTCTCCTGGAAATACCTGAAGTCAGCATATTCCTCCTCCAGCAAGTCTAACAGACATGCACACTGTCCCCTGCGCTATCAACAACAAACAAGCCAGCCGACCTACCCATACACGCCTGCACTCGGCACTTTAAATCCAACGTGTGAGTCACTTTTTTTCTTGCCCCACTCTTGGCTCAGTGGAGACCGCTTCAAAAAAAACAAAAAAAAGAAGAAAAAAAACCCCCAGAAAGCATGAACATTGCTTTGTCTGGGAATTCAGGGTCAGGTGGTTCCCAACAGGAATTCTGGTTGGCTAGAGAGGACTTGCAGAATGTTGGCGGCTGTCCAGGAGGCTGTCTTGCAAGCAGCGCTGGAAATTCGCTGTAAACCTCATCTTCACCCTTATATCCATAGTACGGAGTTCATTTCCACTGCAGAGAGAGTAGTGAGGGGAGAGGGGGAGGAGTAAAGGGAACTGGATGGGGGTGGGAAAGAGGAATCTACTGTAGCGTTGGGTACTTATTAAAAAAAAAAGAGAGAGAGAGAGCGCGACATGATCCCCCTGACTCAAAGAAAGTGAAAGCTGGGTTTTAACCCCCCCCTCTTCTACGCTAACAAAGCTCTGCTGACTGTATGCGGCTCAGGCCTCGTAGGCAGAGGAAGGAAACATGTCAAGGCCCCTTTCAAAAGGGTTTCCTGCCGCATTGTAGTGTCCGATGAAGAGCGCTTCGAGACAACATGACTGCACAGACCTTCGTAGAGCAAACATAGCTATGACATGTTACGATCTGCGCTCGTCCACAATGTGCCTGTTCAGAGAAAAAGAATTCCCAGGCTCCTGACGGAGGATTCCAGCTCTCTCCGTGAAGAATGCGAAACGCCCATCTCTCTGGAATTTTACAACGTCCACTCACGAGACAACTGTGTGTCCGGCTAATTTGGTCGTATTTCTGGGATCTCTGACACTTTTATGGCTTGTCCTCAAACACAGTGTGGAGAGGGGCAGAGAAAAGAAGATGGGGGCGGGGGGAGCTCGATGTTGATTGGTTGGCCTCCTTTGGTTACCGAGGAAAAAGAGCGTTATGTAACAGAGCGGTTCTCACAATATAGCACAGTGCCATTAGGAAAACTGTCAACAACCTGCACCTGCAATCGTACTTGAGCTTTGCGATGGCAGTGGGTAATAACGGAAGGCTAAATGACTGATTTTTAACAGTTTTTGTACCCCCACACCCCTCAGTAAAGGCTTGTTCATAGTAAGAACACTAACTATAACAATGGTCCACAGGACAATGGTTCAAGACATTTTTTCCAGTTGATGAACCCTAAAAACCTTTGACAGCCAATCAGAACCCACCTGGCTTTCAAAAGCGTGAGCATTTAAAGCAGGCGATGTTTATAACAAACTGAACTTGTTGGTGTAGATGCTAATATAAAATTTCTAGTTATCCTTCATGGTGTGAATGGAACTTAAGGCTCCAAGACCAAAGGCTTCGGAAAACCTGTTTTGGTCTTACTAGTGGAGCAAAAAATCAATCATTTCACCTTTAAGTCAAGACACATCACAACAATTTCAGCCCTGCACGTGGTTGTAATGTTATACAGATTCACCATGGCACAACACAACTGATGAAATGATCATATAACCTTTGATTTTCTTACTGAAAAGGCACTTTACATATGGAAGGGGGAAATCTTCTCAATTCACCACCAATGTGCTGTGTAGCATCCACTATGATGATGCAACGACAGCCATACTGTGCCAGAACGCCTTCCACACACCAGATTATTGGTGGAGTAATGAAGCCAATCATATATTGGGGTTTGTTTTGGAGGCCATGATGATGGACAGAGGCCAATGGGCAAATATGGTCAGGATGCCAGGGTTACAACACGTTTTTTTTTCGACAGGACATCCTGGGATTTTTAATGACCACTGAGAGTCAGGACCTCAGTTTAAGGTCTCATCCGAAGGACGGTGCTCTTTGACAGTATGGTGTCCCCGGCACTATACTGGGCAGTTAGGACCCACACACAAACCACAGGGTAAGCACCCCCTGCTGGCCCAACAAACAGCTCTTCAAGGATCAACCTATTTTCCCAGGAGGTCTCCCATTCAGGTACTATCCAGGCTCAACCCTGCTTAGATTCAGCGGGGAACCAGTCTTGAGCTACAGGGTGTCTACTTTATAGTCAGTAAAGTAGATCAAAAAGTGTTACAATACAACAGTACAGTCTCCTAACCAGGGTCATTCTTAGGGACTATGCAACTGTTGCAACCGCACCATGCCGTCTTAGGGACTATGCAACCGTTGCAACCGCACCATGGCCCAGCCCTTTAAGGGGGCCCCACATCCTCTACACACACTAGGCCCCGCACCATACTAGATATGGCCCCGGTTCTAATCTAGAGCAACAGGTATCCAGTCTTTTTTTTTTTTGTCTTTTTCTACACCAAAACACTCAATCAATCAGAACTAGACATACACAAATATAGTTAAGATGATAAATATTTTCATCTTATGGACGATATTACAATTCTACACTATTTTCTATAAATATATTCGAAATACAAAAATGTCAATGAGATGCTAAACTGAAAAAATACAGGAAATAAGCATGCACAATAAAATATTGGATATTTAATACAGACACATTTTTAAAAATGTCTGTTATCAGCCAATAATCAAACTGAAAGTAAACAAAAAACACTTAACATCTGTAAACCAGACTGTTTCAAACTCACTCATTAGGACTGCCATTGCTTATAGGCAGGCTCTGATTGTCATTCATAACAGACAAGTCTGTGGTTGCTCACAAAGAGGAAACCAGTGGATTTTCACTGTGAGAAGCAGCCAGATGTCTCATGAAATAAATGGTACCTTCATGCGATATCAAATAACTCATCAAATACACTTGGCTTTCGCAAAGTTTATTTGGTACGCTGTCGCCCAGGCAAACGTTCCTGCTATAATAGAAATGCTAAAAAGCTTCCTATCGCTCTTCCTTTGGGACAGTGGCGAGCAATGCTACTCACCTCGAACTTCCACTTTGCCAGCAACTCCTCCCTGGTCCTCTTGCTAATGTAATAAGGGTCACCGGCCTGGAAGGTTACTCTGGGCATGGGTCTTTGACGGAGGCTGACTTCCCAGCCCACACCCCCACGGAGCCTCCCGCGAGCTCCCTGTTTAAAGGGACAAAAGCAACAAAAAAAAAGGAAAAGTAAAAATTAACGACTTTGTCTCTCTCTCTCTCTCTCTCTCTCTCTCTCTCTTAGTGTCCTTATCTGTCTGTGCGATCCTTAATAAGGGTAAGAAGAAGGCGGTCAGTCTGCGAATGATTTTGGAGCGTTTTGCGAATGGGCTGGTGGGGGACTGGCAAACTTGGGAACTCATCGTTGCAGAGTGGGTTCGAGCGGCCCGACAGGTAGACATCCAACCTCCAATCTGGACACGACCAGTGGAGAACAGGGACCCTCGTTTCAAGCAGAGGACCAAGTGTATTTGATAGTTCGCCATTAGCGTACCATTTCTTTCATAATCAAATGGCTGAAAAAAACAGGATCCACGGTAATGTCACCTTCCTAAGATTTTTCTTCTGAGATGTTCAGCGATTAACGGAAGAGGTCAAACTTTCAGACAGAAACACGCAAACGTACAAGCATATATCACAGACAGGCACACAACAGGAAGACAGTTTTACCTCATTCTTTGCAGAGTCCCCACCCTCGTCTTCCTTGTGCTCCACGTCTAGAGGGAAACAGCCACAAGAACAAGCGATTACCTGAAATGTTTCTGACAGTCCAGATTTGTCGCAATGGAAATCTGTCTTCAACAATCTGGAGTATGAGACCTCAATGGTATTTTTGCATCAACAGAAAGTTTCACAAGGATTTTAAGTAGAAGATCAAGCATGAAATAGCCAAAATAAAGTTATTAACTTGAAAAGGGGTTTAAATAAATAGCTGAAAAGCAAAAAGAAGCTGAAAGAAGGACCATTTTTAGCTTGAGGGCTTTGTGTAACTGAATAAAAGTCCTATGAGAACTTTAGAAAGTGAGTATTAATGTCAGTCAATCACTATCAAAAAGACATATTGGGTTACTAAATGTGTACTGTGAAAAATGCCACAGGGCGATATGTAATTACACATAGTATGATGGTTTCTTTTTGTGAGGCACCAGAATATTACCATTTGAAATATGTAGAGATATATAATGCATATGTGAGCTGTACAATCTCTCTTATGATTGGCTGGACTGTAAGCATCAAATCTGATTGACTGGTTGGTTTAAAATGCAATAGTGATTTAAAATCTGTCAGAAACATCTATGATAAAAAAAAGTGTGAAGAATCAATATGTAAATACAAAAATACACACTATTTGTGTATTACGAATTCTGCTTTGCATGTCAGATTTTTGAATGAAACTTTAGGTTATAACTCTGTGAATCATATTAGTTGATTGATTGTGAAGCTAAGCTATACTGGTTCCAATCTCAACACAACAGCTTTCCATTTCTGTAGCTATAATTTTAAAATCTGCTCCTCACCCTATAAGTCATATCAAAATGTTCCACTTAAAAGTAAGAAAGAAATCCACCAAGAAGTGTCAGTTCAGAGTAAATATTGTATAAAATAAGTGCTCATTCACAAGGAATTATATCGGCCACACTGCTTTAGACATTAGTATCGAAATGAGCCATTGAAAATACCTTATCACCCGACCACTCCTTTAAATATCAATACACCCTTTCATTATTTTCAGTATTAACAAAAAGCTTCATTTTTGTGATGGTCAGCACTTTCACAGACTCCTAACAACAAAAGAAATTGTATTTATACTCTTACACGCAAACTAAATAATTGCAAACCATCAAGGTCAATCAAAACTTGCAGGATGTGACGTCAACATTGAAATTAGCCAACGACTTTGACTCATTATAATAGCGGTTTTGACATCTCTTTTCTCAATTCTCTCTTTTGCTGCAGGGGAGCCCCCATCCAACCAACACCATAAACTATATTTCTATTTTTAGACTATGTACTAACAGTCGGCTATATAGAAGTTTTCAGTTTTTACATTATCAGTGATGGTGTTTTAATTAGCATATCATGCTTTGGCTGTCTATCTGAAATATTGCATCATACACAAATTGCCTACACATTTAGATACACAACTTTCGACACTGTTGTGTATGCCTATAGTTTAGTAGAAAAGCAGTGCAATGGACATGGGTTTGACTCTAAAACAATGCATGAATTGGTGAAATGTATACCTTGAATGCAATGCAGGTGGCTTTGTTTGAATCTAAATCAAAACTGCATTAAACCACATAAATGTAAGCTTAAAAAAACAAAACTTTTTGTCTTGTGTCTCATTGTGTCTTTGATGGCAGAGGCAGATGGCTTGTTAAAAATAGCCCAATTCATTTCATTGTGCTCCATTTAGCTGCTTTTGAACTGTTTTCGAACACCACCAAGAAACATCAAACCCTTTCGCCAAGAAACATCAAAAATCTGCAGGTTCAATCAGGGCCTAATAATGATTAATATTATAACAAACAAACTAGTCTGTCTGAACAGTAAACCATTACCTTTGCAGTCAATAAAAAGAAATAATTAGTAACAGCCAACTATTTTTGGAATAACTTCCCCAGCACTATCATACTTTCTTCTTATGCTGTTCATCTTCTGCAAATTCCACAGCACCACAATGAATACTCCCAAAATTCTCGTTTTTTGCCGTAGCATTGATTTATACTCTTGACGTCTCCACATTCAAAAGGATGTAGCTCATGCCTAAACAGCTTTGTCTTGGCAGGGTTCAGCAGGTTAGGCCGGGGTTAGCCAGAGGCTACGATTACCAGTGACCCGAAACACTAGCAGGGCTATCATGATGATTCATGATTAAGGAGTACTGAAACTCTTTTCTAACTAGGGTTTGAGAAAGACAATATTACTGAGAGCCCAACAAAGCTTTCTAAAAGAGCACACCCACAATTCCAATACAGCATCAATAAAACATGGCCCCTTAAAACCCTTTGGAAGATTCCCTCCCATCCCATTTAAGTCAAAAACCCACTACAAAACAGATTCACTGATTTACTGTAGAGAATCTGACAGTAAAGTATATTTCAGAAAACCTTTCCTTTTTGCTTGAAGCTTAACATTAGCATGATATTCATGTTAAAAGTAAGAAAAAGATGAGCTGTCAACTCTGCAAGTTACATAATAAATATGAGCACTTAAGGACAGATGTTTATTTGCTAAATGTCAATTCCTAAACTTTGTCACCATAATCACAGTGATGTGTATCATAAAAAAAATGTTTCAAAATGTAGTGTGCAAACATACATTGTGAATCTGACAAGCATTCCTATAGTTCAAACAGTAGAACATGTCGCAAGCGACGCAAAAATCATGGGTTTGATTTTGAGGGAATGCATGAATTAGTGAGAGTGGCTTTAAATCTAAATCACTACTAAATTAAATTGCATGTGCATTTCAGCAACAAAAAAGTCAATAAAATAAAATAATCTCTCTGAAATGTTGCACGTATATATAGCCACGCGCATATAGACAGACATCTTTAACCGCAGAGTAGTGTTTTACACTGTTTATTTATAAGGTGGCAGAAGTATTTCCAGAAAGTATGTTACACAGACTCCCACTTGTTACTTTTTTTTGCAATAAAGGCTTATTCACACCAAGCCGAGTGTTCATTGCAAACAATTTGGTGCAATAAACATTTGAATTTGAATCTACATTCAGGTGAATATAAACATGTGCATGTTGTCAATGAGAAAATTGTTACTTTTTATAAATAACTTGTGAAAGCACTTTTCTGATATACCGTATGTCTAAAGCACCAAGGCATTAAAGAGCCTTATATGATGAGTGCATAGAATCCTGAACACCACATTTTTAATAATCATTAAAGGGATACTCCACTTTTTTTGAAAATAGGCTCATTCAACAGTTGGGTTTCAGCCGATTCAGCCGATTTTCTGATATTTAGAAGAATATCTGTAACCAGACCTTTTTTGGTCTCATTGACTTCCATAGTATATTTTTTTCCTACTATGGTCAATGAGACCAGAAACTGTCTGGTTACTGATATTCTTCTAAATATCAGAAAATCGGCTGAATTGATTCGAAAACGGTAAAACACAACTGTTTATCTCTGGGGGAGTTGTAAAATGAGCCTATTTCCAAAAAAAGTGGAGTATACCTTTAAAGGAATAGTTTACTTAAAATTCTGTCATCATTTACCCACCCTCAAGTTGATTCAAACCTGTATGAATTTATTTCTTCTGCTGAACACAAAAGAAGATATTTTGAAGAATGTTGGTAACCAAACTGTTGATGTACCCCATTGACTTCCATAGTATTTTTTTCCCCACTATGGAAGTCAATGGGGTCCATCCGCTGTCTGGTTACCGACATTCTTCAAAATATCTTCTTTTGTGTTCAGCAGGTTTGAAACAACTTGAGGGTGAATAAATGATGACAGAATTTTCATTTTCTAAGTGAACTATTCCTTCAAGTATGGCCAATGACCAGGGCAACTTCCTATAAATAAATATGTGGGATTTAGACCAGGCTTACATGCAATCTGTAAAGGCATATTCATGATGTCTCTATACTGACACGATGCCAAAAGAAGTAGACAGCAGCCATTTTAATAACCCACTAGCCTAAAGAGGATCTGTTTGAAGTCTATCAAAGCTCCATCACCCAGCCACATCACAACACTTGAGCGTCGAGGGGCATGGGCAAAACCCGAGAGCTTGTTTTCTTCACAAGAGCCATCAAAAGCCTGCCAGTGAAGTACCACACACACCCAGCCAAAACAAAAGGCCTCGACCCCCGAGTCCTCTTCACATTTACATCAGGTGCAAATCCTCTCTCGCTGCATCTTTCGTTCTCTTCCTCTTTTCTCCGTCTCGCGACGGGAATAAGCAACCCATCGGTGCGGTGAGGAAGGGGTTCATTCCGCCGAGACTGCCAAGGTCAATAGGTTTGTGAGCGTGGTTGGCACGCTGTGCCCATTGAGCCTCCAGCATGCCAGTTTGTGCACATGCCAGCCTGCGTGTTCAGAGCATTCAGTTCTATGTCACTGGACTGAAGTCCATCCTGCGTTCTCTGGGTAAAAGGTATAAAAAGCGACACAGGTACTGGCAGATTTGCCAGATTTGACTCTAAGGAGTTCATGAATCAATAAAATCATTGGCGGGATTGAATTAATGAATGACAAAGGTGTGTAGGTGTGATTATCTTTTAGCGGTTGTATTGTATAGTATTGATTTGCAATAGCATCAGTGTTGAGTTAATGAAGTCTGGCAAATCAAGGTTGTGATTTTTTGTTTTGTGCAGGTATGATTTATGTAGCATGATTTCACTAAGCTAAAGTCAAACCATTCAAAAACAACTGCTCATGATAAATGTGTGTAGCATTTTTGTTTGGATCATCATTAAAATGCAGTGGTTGCCTCTAAATTCAAATGGCTAATAGATATTTTTGTTTAAGCCTGTAATAGAGCAAATAAACATCAAATAAATTTGCTTTAAAAAAGAAAAACAAAATCGCATTTGCTTCCGCGATCGGAATATGCTATGAAAAATCATGATTGGTGCATCACTATTCGTTATGCCTGTAAAACTGAACAAGTGCGTCCCAACAAACAATATTGTAGGACAGGAACACTAGATGGTTCCTTCTTAACAAGTTAAGTACTCGTTAAATTGTTAAAGGCAAAATTCACTCAAAAAATTCACTCACCAATCGTATATTTACAGCAAATAAATCTCATTTGTGGTCATTGCTATAGCCAGGTATCCTGCATTCCAATAACATTATGGCATCCAAAAGTGCTGGTTATCAATGTCAATTTCTCAATTTGTTTCACTTCTGATTCACTTCAGGACCATTTGGGTACATTACAGTTGATATGTCTATTTTAGATACTCGTCAAAGAAACTCGCATAATTTTCGCATTGACAGCTCTCTTATTACTGACTCTATTTCTTAATCTAAAGATTCACAAGTTTCCCAAACAGCACAGTCAAAACATCCCTGCAAACATGAAATAGTTTATCCCATAAAGTAGCAGTCTTTACCAAAGTTTTCTCTCTTTCTAAAAATCTTGGTATTTTGGTCGAAGATTGACCATACTATGGTCCGATGATCATAGATGGGCAGAGAAAGCACCATTAACATAGCCAGAACACTTCTCCAATACTCCAACTGCCACATGAACAGTTGGAAAATAGTGTAAAAATGACAATTGGGACACCTACGGGACTGTCATATGTGGCCAAAAAACCTTTAACATACTGATTCAGTCAGTGTAAATGCACCTTTATAGCACTGTTAGCAGTGCTAACAAACAACATGCTTTGATTATGCTTTACTGGACTTCCAAAGTATTATAAATGGAGTCTGTAGACTTTATAGCATTTTACATAGGTCTACAAGTTGGCATCTCTCATCATAAAGTGGGTTACGGGAGACTGATGATGGATCAGTGTGTAAGTGCCCTGGGCATTGTGCCATTCACCTGGCATGGCCCCTACTGAGAGAGAGGCCACAACACAGACCTGCTGTCTCTCTGTGCACTACACACAATCAAGGCAGGCTGCCAGGACGCAGACGGCACTGTTTATACAGCCTTCACTTATTGCTCTCATCAAGGTCAATGTCTGACCCCAAAGTATGGAAAGAGAGAGGTCTGATAATTGGCATCACCATCACACTGGAGCACAAAGATATTCAGGAGTATCGCTGCACCACCACTGATGAATCTGTGAGCTTGTGAATTGTAATATGTGATGAAAATTGGAAAGAAATGCTGTGCAATAATATATAGACAACTAGTAGTCAACATAATTTGTGTTGTCTTAAAGGCAGAGACACACCAAACTGATGCCAAAGAACTTACTAGCTCTGATGAAAGCTGACTGTGTAGTCGCAAAAAAGCTGTCTTTGAACACGCCGAAAGGACTACAGCCCACTGTCAACCAGCACACGCTTTCATGTAAGGAGATATCTGTCTATTTCTGCAGATAAATGTGTCTATATTTGTCATTCAAACAAAGAAACCTATGCTGCAGGCTTGAGAGAAAAGAGTGCAGCACATTTTCCCCATTCATCAATCAGTCGCTCTTTAGAAGCGTGGATGGCGTCTGGATGTTGTTAACTAACAATATATCTCTTCAAATGTTTCTCAAACTTCTTTTTACTTCTAAGCAAAGAATGAAAATAATTTTAGTATATCAAGATCTTGCATGAGCAATTAGTTGCTTGCTGCAGTTCACCTAATGGCCACTGGTGTCGCTAATAACAAGGGTTTCTACAAATTCTACAAATGGAATAACGCTTGCTTATGTATTGGTTAATTTGTTGTATAAAAATGCTTTCAAACTTACAGGGGTGAGAGAAGTTCTAGATGTTCTGACTGTTCTGTAATGCTTATGTTTTGATATTAAAATAGCAGTTCAATAAATAAAATAAAAACATATGAATATAGTGAAACTTAAATTGGTGTGATGATTACTGACTGGTTGCTCATATGACTAAAAGTGTAAAGTGTAAAGTTAAACAGTTTTGTGGTAATAAATGGTATTAAAATAACACATTCAAACAAAATAAACAGAAATTCAGAGGGTCCTTGCACTAAATATGCTGTAAAAATGGATATTGGATATTGGATGCTCTCATTGGGGGAAAAAAATCCAATAAGAAACGCTACTGGAGAGAGAATCTTGCCAGATCGCTTCTGTACACACATTGTGGGAGGCTGATGTCTTTTGTTTTCAAATTAAATTTTTGGGAACGTAATTACCCTGATTTTCATATTAATGCATTTATTTAACAATAATTATTTGTTCTTCAAGTCAATGGTAGCTGCAAAGCCTCCAAAACCATTTTACAATCCTACTTGTTTAGTGACTAAATATTGCATTTTTTTAAAATAATTTTGATGACAAGTTCTTGGCCTTGGGCCCACAAATGGCTCAGTAAGCAGACAGCTGTGAAACATGATGCTAAGGAAGGTTGAGCATAACTCACATTTAGTGGGCCGCTCCAGTTTCCGTCTCCCTCTTTTCTTGCGAGGCAGAGTTGGCAGTGTCTCCTCTTCGTACTTCTCCGAGTCCTGGCTGGCGACAAATCCGTTCTCCAGGGATGGGCTCAGGCTTGAATCAGAGGAGGACTCAGCCCGACAGCCCGACTGGCGTGGGAGCCCGTTTTCCGCAGCATTCTTGTCCAACGTGGGGTGGCGACCTTCACACGATTTGTTCTCATGCCTCTCAACATCTCCATTCTGAGACTGCAAAGATGACTGGAGCTCCGCCCCTTTGTGCAGCTTAGCCCCGCCCATCAGCTGATTCACTGTCCCGTGTGAACACTCCACCTGCAGCGCAAAATTACATAAGACTGTCATGCATTGCTAGCCTATATTTAATCAGAAGCTTCAATAAGCAGCTCCCTATGGCACAATAAATTAATTATATTTGCCCTCTAACACACAACAAACCAAATTTACCCAAATCAATCCTCTTTTCATAATATATAAAAACTATATTATTAATATATTATTATGTACGTACCAGAAGGGGAAAATAAATAAATATAAACTCAAAAGTCAAATAGTCAGATGCTCTTTAGAAACCACTGTCAAGCAATAGTAATGAATTTGACTCATTCTAAACGTGTGACTTGACTAACGAAACTATGTGTTTTGCTCATGACATTATCATATGAGAGCCGTGGCTCATGGGGACCCAGGTTTGAATCTAAACTGGGTCATGTCTCTGTCCCATTCCCATCTCACTTACTTCCCTGTCAATCCTGTGCTATCATGTAAAAAAAAAAGGCAAAAAGGCCCAAAATAAAATAAAATACTTTAAAATGGTTATGACTCACAATTGTAATTAAAGAGTAAGACCCAATTTGCAGTCAAATCTTTCATTTGCAGTCTAGGCTCCATCTTTCATCTGCTCTAGTCTATATGAGGCCATTTCCGATGTCCTTGCCTTGACATCTAAACTATCTATCTGAACCATCTAATCTAATCTGAAACAAAGACACGGAAGCTCTCTTCCTACACATTAAGTGGAATGGGAGTACAGTGTTTCTATGCACCTGTCTACAAAGAAACACAAAATAGCACAATATACCAAACTACTTCTACCATTACTGCGGCATAGGAGAGCAGAGATTTAAACATGATTATCATAAAAGTTGACAAAGTCCACAGATGTATGTATTTGATTTGTGTCTTCATGAGAAGAAATCCTGTCTGATTTATGAATAAAGTTACGACTTTTAATAGCTTTATTTTAAATTAACAATAACGCTGATGATTCACTCACAATCAGACTCATTTGATTCTCACTGACTCAATCTGGTCACAACAGTTAAAGCTCACTGGAGGGACAGATTTTAAGTGAGTAATGACTTAAATTTGGTGTGTTGCTGACATAAAGCTATCGTATAACTTCAAAAGACTTGAAATAAAGCACACTATTCATTTGAACCATTTTCATAATGCCATTTTGAAACTTTGAAACGTCAATCGTAATATACGGCAATTGTATTGAAAAGTACCACCAGCACATTCGTAAAAAATTCTGCTTTGTAAAAAAAAAGCTTTTGTTATTTGAAAAAAATCCATTACTCGCATATTTTTCTGTTTACTTAAAGTTTTGTGTCAGTGACATTATCGTATCATTTTGTGCACATCCCAGACACCTTTATCATATACACCACTGACAATATTGTGAAATTAAAATAACTTTTTTTATTAAAATAACTTTTGAAATGTAATTTATTCCTGTGACGGCTTAGCCATTACTCCAGTCTACAGTGTCACATGGTCCTTCGGAAATCATTCTAATTGGTGCTCAAGAAACATTTACCATTATTATCAATGTTGAAAACAGTTGTGCTGCTTAATGTTTGTGGAAATATGTTTTTTTTTAGGATTCTTTGAAACTTCAAAAGAACAGCATTTACAAATAGAAATCTTTTGTAACATTATAAATGTTTTTTTTTTGTTTTTTTTGCGGTCTCTTTTGATCCATTTAATGCGTCCATAATTTTTTTAACCTTACTGACCCCAAGCTTTAGAACGATAGTGTATGGATGGATGGAAATGCTGTCAAGTAACCTTAAACACACAAAGGCCCTGTGCTGTATGTCTATATACTGTACAGCAAGCTATTAATCTACAACCTCGACATACATAATTTATTGGATTCAACCACCTGCTTAGCATGTCCGTGGAAAGCCAGACTGACACGAGAGGCTGGCGATACTAGAGACAAACAGAATGGGAGCCCTTGGAGAGCTGAACCGCCAATCTGACAGTGGCATTTCTCTTTATTGGAACAGCTGCCGCTTCGCCTCACTGCCTAGGACGTCAAAGCCATTCTCATGAAAGAGAGATCGAACAGTGATCTGACACAACACAACCGTTACTCTACTCTAGTGAAAGGAAAGACACAATTTCCAGAAGCAGCTGCTGGATTGTTAGATCTTGTGTTTGTTCATAATCAGGAGTGATTGTGTCACTCTTGTGTCGTGTGAATGATGACAGAAGGTTTAAAAACAGTCAAGTTGTTCAACATCATACCTCTGATGTTCTAACTTGTTGTAGCAAGACTTTGGGTGCCTTTGGAAAACATGTAGGGTTCCAGCGGTGTGCCGCCCACAAATGCCGAATTCTACTTTCTTACAGTATATTCATTCCGTTTGCTTCATTTTTCATTTGACATTACAGAGGGGAGGTGGTATGGGAAGAATGTTACCCATTCGTCTGAGGGGTGTCGGTTGCCGCTGTGAGAAAAACGGTTTTAAGACCCCCGAAGTCTATTTACAAAAAAAAAGTCCATTAGCATCACTATGACTATTGCTGGTAGATTTAAATGAGAATTAAATACAACAGACATGAGTGGTATATTATTTTTGTGTCATTTATATAGTATATATATATATATATATATATATATTAAGTGATTTATGGACTAATTTGTGGACATATGAGTCTTGCCTGAAGGAAATGGGGGGGAAATTCCATAGACATTAAGGGAGGGACCCGAAACATTCTAGAGACCAAAACATCATTAAGAGGCTCTTGGGATAGAAAGCAGGGCTCCAGAACAAAACAAAAAAAAGTCGATGAGAAACAAATCTGTCTGATTTGTGAAGATAAACAGATTCATCGAAAAGATCTGTCTCAAAAGAATAATTGTCATGATGTTAATATTTCAGGAACCAGATATAATTTCTTCTCATGAATGGTAATTTATTGTAAATGTGCACCAATTTGATGATTGCACTCTAGAAATCAGAACTGAATGGGAATATATATATATATATATATATATATATAATAAAATGATGAGTTGATTATGGTTTCAAAATGTCAAAACATACGATTTCACTTACATACGAATCAACATGATATATTTTTAGAATAATATTATTACCCAAACACAGAAAAAATATGTTCTGAATATGTATCTTTAATCACATATTGTTATGTGAATAACCAGTCAGTACAGACTGATAGGTAAGTCTCAAAAACCTGAAGTATACATCACAGTTTGGATTCGGGTTCATTTCATTCAAATCTGTCATAAATTACAATTGGCTGTTTTGTGAGTTTTTTTTACTGTTTTTTTTACTTTATTAAAAAGAACTGATTTATAAGGGGCATTTTTGGTAAATTGGGCATTGCGAATTTTCTTTCTACCGAGATGATGACCCCCATATGGACACGCATATCTTCTTTTATGTTCCACAGAAGAAAGTCAGATGTGCGAGTGTGAATGTGTGAATAAATGATGAAATAACTTTTATTTATGGGTGAATTGTCCCTTTAAGAAGGCCATAGCAACACCCTAGCAACCACTCAGTAAACCCTAGAACCCACATAGCAAAGTCTTGACAACCACCTAACCTAACCAAGCATTGCAGTGGCACGTTTTGCATGGGAAACTTACCGTACATAACAAAATTTAGTCCTATTGAATACAAAAATGGACGGAAAATTGTGAAACAATGGCGCTGGCTGCAGTCCAGTGATCAAAACAATGTGGTATGCTTTGATATTAGCACCTTCCTTATGTGACCTAGAAACAAATCCCCCCCATGTGTATCTTCCGCACAGGATTTTGGAAACACAGATGGGGTAGCATAGTGTCTAAAATTAGCTCTGTGGAAAACAATGCTATTACTGTTTGATTAAAAAAGTTCCGGTCATCACTCTCCTGATATGTCACTTAGAGCCTCGTCTTCCTCGGGCGGCTTCACAACTCCTAGACTTTTCAGCAAGGTAGTCAAACATAGAGCGCTAACACAGTTCCACACATCAGCACTGAGCACCTCTATGAGAGATGACTCAAACATTATTCTATCTGTCTTCACATGGCTTACATTTCACAGAGTAAGACATTGCTCTCCTTGCAGGACCGCAATTATCTGTTGAAGGAATGGGATAGGAGGATAATACAATCAGAAAGTCCTCAGGGGAAGGCAAGAGAGGATGTAGGGCAACCGAACATCCACATGCCCTGACATGCCCTCACTAGATTAATTATGCAAGAGCGTGGATTATTTTCAAAAACAAGAGTACTTTGGGGGGGTTGGACGTTTACCTAGGGAATAAGAACTGACTTACTCAAGGTATTCAATCCCCAAATTTCACAATATCCGGGACAAAGGTTTTATGACCCTCCCCAAAGACCCAATGAATTGTCTAAACTGTAGAGGACCTTGGTGAGGTACCAGGAACCGGGACAACATTTCCCAATTGGTTCCTTCCCTAACAACAGCCCTGAGTGGTTTGTGAGGAAGCTGCAAAACAACCAAGAGCACAAACATTTAGGTCCGCATACGCTTCATGATAAATTGTAGCCCGAGACATCTAGTCACAGTTCAGCGCTGACAAAGTCAGTCGCACACAGTACGAAAAGCAGCGGGAGCGTCTTTCTGTACCCGCTTTCTCAAGATCAAGGAGACAGATGACTCTGATTGTGAGAAGTGAACAGAGTTTTATGCGAGATTGTATGATAATTTGTAAACTGACATCTAGCCACGATTCAGCTAATCGCGATTCAGCTAATCCAAAACAGTGACAATACAGGCAAAAGTTCACTTAAAGAATGAACAAAGTGGCGTTGATGATGAGTTTGAAGTTTCTAAATGCAACACATCAGTTATTGTACATGGAAAATCAACCAATGACCATTGTAACGCAGCATGTTTGAACTTCAATAAGAACCAATGAGGTTTGTTCTCGCGATTCAAGCATGTTTGGTAGAGCTTGTTTATGTCCACTGATCAATGTTTATATGTGAATAAAAGCCAAAATTCAATCTGTTTGAACATCATATAAAGAGATCATGACTTATCTGAAAAATTTGGACAAAAAGGCTCGATTTATATGGATTAGTTTTATGTTAAAATTCATCCGTCCTATTGTTTCATCGCACGTGAGAAGAGCTGTCACACTCCAGAAGCGCAACCTAAAATTACTGACACTCCCAGAAATTCGTTGGAGGCCGAGTTACCCGAATAGCCTAGGATGGATGAGGCCTATGTCCAGACTTGAGCATGGTAACTCAGGGATCCTTCGATTGGTAATCCACCTACTTAGTGGCGTATCGAAACATCCTTTTAGAAAAAAAAAAAAAAGAAATTCGTTGGAGGCTAAGAGTCATTGCAAAGACCATTCATTTACAGTCGGTGAACATGTCACACTAAGGTGTTCAAAAACTTTTGCCCTCTGACAAAATAATTCATTTATGATCACAGAAATTTGTCTCAAATGGAAAATGGTTGTAATGCCCAAGGGAAGAGCGATATTTTGATCCCTAGATTTGGCTCGGGTCTCTTCTTCAATCTCGAGTCTATAGGAAATCGCATGTTTGGTCAATTTCAAACAATTTATCTGGTGCCCCCGTGTCAATACCAGCAACCACATATCTGCCTGTTTACCCGTTCCCAACCACTGCCAAGACTAGCGCCTGGTGGATAAACGAAAATAAACCGAATCCCAGGGGAAGTTGGGTGTTTTGTGGTTTGGTTGAGTGTTGAGAGCTCAGTCTCACGAGGATACTCACGGGGAGGTGCTTGCGCTTACGGCCAGGCCGTCCAACCTTGCGGACAGGAGCGCAGAGTGAAGGCATCTCGTCAATAATCATGGTGTCCATTCTTGAGCTCTCATTCTAAACAGATAGAAACACACAGCATTAACCATTACTGTTCAACCAGACCCGCCTTTACTGGATCAAAATCAAGCTCTCTGCATTATATTATGAGACTCGTCATTGGCAGATATATTGTTCAGACTGATTAAGTGGCTGATTTTTTATTTATTTTTTATTTTTTTACAGGAGATACACAATATACAGTTTCCATTTCTGTCAATATTAAAAAAATATATCAGTATCGGTAATTATTGGATATTTAAACATTATTCTCATTTATACACAATATACAGTTCCCATTTCTGTCAATATTAAAAAATATATATTTATCAGTAACGGCAATTATTGAATATTTGTTTTTATTATTATTCTCATTTCTCATTACATTTAGATTTTAAATTTACTTTTAGATTACTTTAGCATTCATCTAACACTCACTTAAATTTAATCTTTAAAACACAAATAGTTCAATAACACTGTTAACTGTATATTGTAATGCCTACATTTTAACTTTAAATGATATTAGCAATATATTTAGTGATTTATTTTAAATGTATTTAGACAGTTTATTATTAGCCATTTATCGGTTATCATCCATAACATCGACCACAATTATAGTATCAGTTCATTCTTAAATTTTACAGTTTGTAATCTTAACCTTTACACACCACATATGCCAGCCCCACACCAAGACTTGAATGAATGAGATTTTTAAATGTCATCCTACATTTTGCGTTCACAACAAGGTTAATTAGAAAATGAGAAAAAGCCAGCTTTTGAATGGCATCTTCTTTTTAGCTGAGATAAAGTGAGCGGTGATACAGCTGTGAAGAGATAGCGAACTCTCTGAGTTCTCTCTTGACACAGTCACAAAGACATTCAGTGGTTCATTCACTCCCCTTATTCACTTTCTCTTTGTTTAACACAAACGTGTCTTCCCTCTTCAACAATAGCAACTCTTCATCCAGCCAAGCACCCTAGGGTGAACGGGAGAGAAAAGATGATCCTAATGTAGCTGCAGCTTCAGGGCTGGACTGAATGAAACCACCGGCTCTGAATCAGAATGCTAATGAGGAAGCTGTCCCAGTCTGCCATGACTACTGAGAAGTCCAGCATGGCCGAAAGATGGCGGGACTCACCACTGGAATTACTTATCATTAGCGCGTAATGAAGCCGATATGAAGCTAAATAAGCAGAGTGCGAATAGCACTTGAGTTTCAAGATAAGCATTAATCAAAGATGCATATATATGTACAACTCAAATATAAAATTATATATATATATATATATATATATATATATAAAATAACAGTTTATATATATATATATATATATATACATATATATACATATATATAAGGGCTGTCAACCAACTGTAAATAGATTTATATATAATTTATATTATATATAAATATAAATATTTTATATATAAATAATATTTTTTTCTTAAATATACATGCATGTGTGTGCGTGTATTTATAAATATACAAAATAATTATACACCATGCACCCACATATATTATGTAAAAACAAACTTTTATTTTGGATACGATTAATCGCGATTAATCGTTTGACAGCCCTAATATATACATATATACTATACACACAAATATATCCTAACTTTTATGATAGATGCGATTAATCGTGATTAATAGATTTGAGAGCACTATAAGAAACTGATATTTTATATTTCAATTTAATTGTACACATATTATAGTATAAACACACATTTAAATATTCAGGCTTTTTGTAAAAAAAAAAAAAAAGTCTATTCATTTAAAATCATATTTCTGGAGATTCGTTCTATTTAAGCATTCTGGTTTTCCTGTGAATGTCTTCCCACATTTATGACTAAAAAATCCTGCTAGCCTCACCTGCTAGTTGTGTGAACTCAGTAACACTGTCTACATCTTTGCTCTATTTCTGTCGGCAGCCGGTTATTTAAGGCAAGAACTGTTGCCAAGCAACAGGACTATGAGCGTAGCGCGGGTCCATGGGTGCAGGGGCGGGGAAGAATGAAATCCCCTGTAAATCAGGCATACGCCAGCCTCTCCTACACAAACCAACACCCACGTCACTAAACACAGAGCAGACACTATCTCTCATAACAATTCACTCGTGTTTACTAATTATGTTCAACGAAGCCTCTACACTGTCACCTGATGGCCCTGCTATGGAAATGAATCATATCAAACTATAATGATATATTGAATGAAATATTGTGTATGATAGTGATGGATTTGAGGAGAGAGTTTATCGGATAGTTCAGCAAAAAATATTATTCTGTGGATCATAAAAGAAGATATTTTGAGAAATGTCTCAGTGGTTCTTTTATTCATACAATGGAAGTCAATTGGAACCCAAAACTCTTTGTTTGCCAGCATTCTTCAAAATAGAATGCTCCATATATGAAACAAACTTAGTTTTAATTTTTGAGTGAACTATCCCTTTAATTTTGACGTGAAACATAAAATGAGAAATAATGGGATGTTTATGCTTTCTTTTGAAAATCAAATGTTTTTACAAGTAATCCATCTTGTATAAGGTGGCGCATTCCACATTTTGTAATTTCTCCATGGGGGTTTTACCTGTGACTTCAACAACATAGGAGTAGAAACCATTATAAATGAGCACATGTCATGTGGCCGAATGTTATAGTACCATAATTACTATATGACTGGACTGAGAATCATCCTCGAAATTCTGAGTTTATATAACACGGAAGTAAAGTTTGAGACTTCCGATTCATTAGCCGCTATTGGGAAATAACGAGAATATTTCAGTAAACTGTTAAATTGTTTGCACTACAAACCAGCGTCTTTATAATTAAGACATTACATTAAAATAATAAAAGCTAATAAATATCAGGAAGCGAATGACACCGGAAGCCAGACAAAATTACAAATGGCAGCGCCCTCTCTAACCTGAACAATACGATTATTCTTGCTATTAAGCCTAACAATAATCCATTATATGAATGATTAAACAATGACTAAATATTATAAATTTTATGACTGCTTAGCGGTCAGGTGGAACAAGTCAGAAGTAGTGCTGGCATCTAATCTATATATACACACATATATTATATATTTACAAGATTAATCGATTTGACAGCACTTGTCAGAAGTTTACATCTTGTTAATTACTAAGTCAGAATCTTGCAATTACAGTTATTCCAACATGCATTGAACGCAATTTTATGCCACCTACTTAATATTAACAAGGATAATGAACATTAATTAGACAACATAAGGATTGCATGCTGCATGGAGTAACATTACATTACGTGATCACCACTTTTCAAATCATTCCAGTGACCCTGGTCATCTGTACGATGCGTAAATATAGTAAGTTTCTAATTTAGAAGGTTTAGGTTTCATTGTCGTTATCTCTTCAAAGCTAAAGACTATTTACAAAAGACCATTTCTGCATATGCAAAGTTAGCATAAGGGTTTTAAAAAGCCTTGACATTTCAAGTGACCGATGTGGTAACTAGCCTTATTTGAGTCGGTCCACAGCAGGCCGATCATAAAAATGTCCAAGGACTCATTAACCTCTTACCATTTGATTTCCGTTCGTGTCACAGTTGAAGTCGGAGCTCTTGAAAACAGGGGCGGAGGTGACTGTGTTGGATGGCATCTCCAAATGAGTGACTGTTGAATACAATGCAAAAGTCAAAAAAGGTAAGGAAAAAAAAATAATAATAAAATGAACAAATCCCCTGTGAAAAGTAACACAGCACTCAAACATAACATTCAGAATATCAGAATTATACAATCATTATGCGATCCCTTGTTTCACAATAAAATGTTGCTCTCAAATAAGTGAGGTGAGATACTTTTACGGTAAATGTACATGTAACAGACTTCTTAATGGCTGATAAATGGTTAAAACATTGACATATAAGCAAATCATTGGGAATAAGAGATTAATAAGATGCACATTCAGTGCATGCATGAGAAATCGATCTTAATTGAACTTATTTTTTCAGTCTAATACACCAGATAATAATGTACTGTTGAGGTATTCAAAATGTATGCATTCTCCTACAGCGACATGAAAACCCTTCTCAGGGGTGAAACATGAACTCTTCGCTTTATGGTATTTCCTATTTTTCTCCTCAGAGCAGTTTTAAAGGCATATGTACATTGTATTCTTCACTGCCATGTGTGTGAGCTTCAATGTGCTTTCTGTACAAGTAGGACACCAAAGTCCCATGAAATTAGATTTAGAGGTCAATAAATGAGGCGAATCTATCGTTAAAGGAATAGTTCACCAAAAATGTAAAACTCTGTCTTCTGAACACTTTACTTATTGAAATGTCGTTCCAACTTGTATACCATATTTTCTTCCAGAGGAAAACAACAGAGGTCTATCAGTATGTCCACATCCAGACAATGAAAATAAATGGTGACCAGGGGCTGGTCAAACATCATAAAAGTCACTCAAATGACTAGTGTGCTATAGTGTTCTGAATTCTCGTTGTAAAACAGACCCCAAAAAAAGTTGTTAACTCTCAAATCCCATTTGATGGCAAAAGACATTGGATTTCATAAGTTCAATAACGATGGCGACATTTGAATAGCTAGTAGGCTATGTATAACAAATGAGATTTGAAAGTTCAATGGTTACATCTATAGCTTCAGAAGACTTGAATTATAGACCAAAAGTGCCACTGGTGACCATTCACTGAAGGCCAGTATTTAATTATTTTGTGTGAACTATTCCTTTAACTCCTACAAAACAATCCCACTGGTAACCATACAGTAGTTTCTACAGTACTAACAATAACTGTAACTGGTATTTTGACGTAAACTCTAGTCTCCATAGTACAATTATACAAGGGCATTGGCGGTCATTAATATTCCAAAACTGGGTAAAATGTGTCACACAGGTACCCAATCACAAGGTGTTTATTAATCACATGTATATCACAGTCTTAAATGCATAAAAAATCTCTTTTAATCATCCGCCTTCTCGGATTATTCGGCGTTTATAAATGACAGTCATTTCCAAAAGGCCACGGCGGCTTAAAAACGAGACCCTCTCGAAACCTAGGTGAGCTGCCTACATAGACAGCACTTTGGGGCATCTTAAGCGTGTCTTTTGCTATTTCTGGGCATCATAAGCGCGTGCGAAACGAAATGTGCTGTCTAAGTAGGAAGCTCGTTAGGTTTTGAAACACATAGCCATTGTTTCGAATCGAGCGGATTGACGAGGCGCTACAAATGAACGCTCATCAAGTTCAAGCGCATATTGCAGTGCATTAATCGCACATCTGTAGGACCAGGAAAAACCACTGGCCACATCGAGCCGCCCCCCTCCGTAATTGTCCCCCCAAAAAACTGGGAACCCCACGGCGGAGACTCATTTCAATGGCGGCTTTAGGTTTTACACAAGCGAATCGCAGTGTTAATTACCCGCTTCGCCAAGTTCCAGACCTGACCCCTTTATGTTTTCGCTGACTCCCGGATCCTCCTTCTGCTTCGCTCTCCCCGTCCTCCACCACCTCCCCAGCCGGCCAGCTCTCCTCCAGATGCTCCGCTCACACTGACTGCAGAGGCCAGCGCTCCGGCAGCAGCTCCGCGCGGGTCCTAGAGACAGTTGACTTACGAGTCGGGTGTAGAGAGTCATAACTGAACCTTCACCCATATCTATGTTCTATATATCCCAGTATAGATCTTATTATTAAAATTCATACATGTATGTTTTTAATCAAAACGTCATACCTGGATCTCCCAGTGAAAACAACACACTTGTCTTTGGTGACGTATGCGGGACATATCCAATCAATTAGTCAGTTTAAACCCCATCTTTTTCAATAATTTGTTGCACTCAGATGTACAGGATGTCACATCGTGGGGGAAAAAATTGTCCTTACTTCCGTTTCATTGTGACTGTAAGACCTTTTGGGGGCTGTTATAGCCTTTCTCAGTGAGGCAGAATATGTTCACACACAGTTCGGTTATTAATGAGCGTGACAATATCAACATGTAGGCCCTATTCCTTGAATGGTATTCAAGGAAACGCCGTATTTACTTTTTTTTATAAATGAAAACGAGGCTGTGACATAGGCCTAGCGTCCATTCAACGTGTAGGCCTAGGCCTACTTTTGTGGCAAAGTACCGAACAAATAGCCTAATGCAATATTGAAACAAAAAAATGTCTAGAATAAAATTCTGGAAAACAGAAATAAATGGAAATCCACCCTATTTCCATTGTCTGAACACGAAAAAAAACGGAAATGGAAACTTTTCTGTTTTTATTATAGGCTACTACATCATTGTTGAGTAAACATAGCCTCCAGTCTTTTGTTAAATCAATGTGTTACTTGCGGTTTCTTTGTAATTATTTGTGAAAATGCAGTTTCCGCATAAAAGTGAATTCTACACCAATTGTTTTTTTCAGTGTTTAAAAATTAATAAGAGAAACTGTAATGCTCATAGGCTTAACAGTAAAAGAGCCTATCACATTTTTGATTTGGAAGGCATGCACATAAGCTGAACAGGCCTAAATAATAGGCCTGGAAAAATTTGGTTTAGCATAATTTGCTAAAGAAACAAACTCCGCTGTACTCGCATAACTGGAAATTGGAAATAGCTGATGGCCGCCAATGCATAGACTATATATGTACATTATTTATGTATAAGGTCTATGAGTCCCTGAGACTTTTTCAGGACTAGCCCAAACATCTTCAGTAAGAAAAATGGAAAGAAATCTCACAGAAAACTGCTTGCACATACAATACAAGTTATTCTGCCTAACTTTTACTTTTGTGCCATACAAAAAAAAAAAAAGAAAAACACATGAATGACATGGAAGTAAGCAGTTGGGAAAGGTACACTTTTCATGGTTGTCAGTGGCATAAATGTTTTGTAATTCAATCAGGACTGCAGCTTAAATTCACATTTAACATGTCTTATGTGACCCCTTAATCACAGGGTCCCTTTAACAACTGGTCTTAACTCAATCCTATAGGAGCTGATATTCTATATAACTTCTGTACACACACACACACACACACACATTCATTGTCCTTTAAAGTTTTTCTTTACCCTTTAATACTTTACAAAAAGACATAGGGGTGACGTAAACATAAATACGGACATAAACCATTGCAATAAATGATTGTATACAGCAGCAAAAACCCTCAAATGAAATAATGAAACAGTGTTTGTGGCTTCAAACTGACAGTTGGTTTTAAAAAACAATAAATACACAATTTGCTGAAGAAACTAAAACCTGATGGTCCAGATTTAGTTTTTGAAATAGTGTTTCGTCTTGATAACATAGGAGGTCCTCTGTTGGGGGCCCATCTGTAACATATAAATTCGCAACGATGCTTGAAATTGATTTCAAGCAGGGTTCCTTCCTCTTAAACTGTATTGTATTTCCACCATTTAAGGCACCCCATAATTAGTTACCCTCTCTGTGGGCTGCTTCAGTAAATTCATAATCAATAAATTGTGGTTTAACACAGACAAATACACAGAACAAAGACCTAAAAGACACACTACAGGTTGGCAAACAGTTTGGCACAACTTTTAAAGGCAGAACAATATTTTTTTTTTCCCAAAAATCACAGGTAAATAATGACTGCATTCCGACTAAGTCACATAAAACTCCTATCTAAGGGCTGACTTGCACATGTGCAGAATTTTTATTTTATACAGCACTTTATACAGTACATCTAGGCACATATCAGAAGATTGCATTCATATTTGTAGCAAATGCTGGAACATAATCGAACTTTCAAACTTGCGATCTAGTATTTCGTACGGTCATTCAAGCTGTATTATTTCTTGCAAATTTAAACAATGCCAGTAACTTCCCAACTGTATTTTATATCCCTTTCATTGAATCACAGAACAAGCATTATGGTCGTGTAAAAATCGATTTGAAAAGCAAGTATTTAAGATTTCAATAACAGAAGCGACACTTTTGTTTTCCAGTGTAAAACATTGAATGAGACCTCACTGTTCATATTGTAGCCATTCAAAAGACCTCCTTATGCAAAATTACAAGCATTTAAAAAGTATTAAACAGTGAATGAATGAATCATTACACCTACTGAGACCCTTGTAAATGTCAAAGAATCGTAATATTCTACACCAAAACTCACTTCAAATCGTTGCTCAATGGATTTATCTAATTTAACATTCAAATGTTAGCAGTCATAAACAAAATGTGTTTTTAAAATAATGGTAATTATCATTTCTTATTTGAAACCAACCTAATAAAGAACAAAATGAGTATAATAAAGTCACATATGTATAATAATTAGAGAAATGTAATTATTGAACCTGAATTCCTTCTGATTCAAGTACGACAAGTCGAATTCATTCAAGTCTTCGTCATGACAATAAAGCTTTAGACTCTTCTTAACACTGCAACACTATAGCAATTCTACTTTGGTAATCATGACATAAAATGTTGAAATTATGACATACAGTCATAATTATGTGATAAAAAGTCAAAATCATGACTTAAAAATTATAACTATTTTTGTATACCATTTGGCAAATAAAGTCGTGACTTTGACTCTGTCAATTTATTTTACACTGTTAAAAATATTTTTGGTTTAACTTAAAAAAATAAGTAACCTGGTTGCCGTAAAATTTTAAGTTCATTGAAATGGAAAAATTGAGTTAATACAATGAAGGAGATTAATTTAAGCATCAGAAACTCAAAATATTATGTTATCTGAACTACATAAATTATCTAAGTTGATTTGATAAAAGAAAAAATGTTGTGATTACAAATCATGAAAATATTTTTTTTACAAAGAGTGTCAAAATTTTGACTTGTCATTATTATGACTTTTCATAATTTTGACTATTTATGTAATAATTGTAACTTTTTTACCTTATAGCTTTTATGTCAAACTTTTGACTTTTATATCATCATTTTGTTTTGTTATAATTATTCCTTTTCATTGCACAAGTATGACATCTCCTAATTTAGACTTTTATCGCGTAATTATGATTTACCAAAGCATTTTTCTTATGTGGCACAAATGGGCTTCCATTCAATACCGTTTCTGTTTACCATCCTCAGACATTCCATAAAGATTTTATGACCTGTGCTAATCTTTGACATTTGACCTTTGGGAGGGTCAAAGTAAATTCCACCAATTTGTTCACAAGTATTGCTACCGTGTTCCTCTCTCAACAGTCCCTGAGCGCTTGTTTCATTTATTTCACACAAATATACACAATAACTGAACTCAATAAAGCTTTTGAAGTAACTTTTACACAGAGACGTGTGCACTCAAAGATGGCTGGCTAAGCTGGTTTAAGGATATACGGAATCTATCCGCATTCCATCAAAGTCCCTTTACGCTCTCCGGAAATACAGAGAGATACAAATGCGCTACTCTAAACTAAGAAGCAATACTGAAGCGCTAAAACAACGGCCACGACGACAGGCTAAACTTAACACAGTAGCAGAAATCCCAGACAAACGGCGAGCTCTACGAGACGTCCCTGATATATGGCGGTTCTGATGCGTGTGATGCAGAAGCAGCAGTTTGATGATCAGAAGACTATAAGGAGCGACGGAGCAGGCATACATGTGGCATGCAGAGCAAATACAAGCCCTCTCCATCTATCCAGCAGAGCCACTCCATGCATTAAAACACAAAAATCATCACTAATTATACAAAAAGCTTCCTGCGTGGGGAACATCTGGAAAAATAGCTACAGCTTATATCGATTTGAGTGAGTGACGTCATGAAGATGCACAGTGCGTTCGTTTCCGAGAGTAGTAATCACAAATTCATAAAGGTTTTTTAAGAAAGCACAAACAAGCCATTCTCATGGGTAACATGATAACAATGGGTTTATACAGATAGACATAGAGCTATATTTATATTTATATATATATACTGTATATATTTATATACTTCCTAATAAATACAACTTGCTCTGTGCAAGATGTGATGAAGAGTTTTTTTTTTTCACATAGTGAAACCCAGTTGGGGAAGAGCATGCATTTGTGCGAATGCCAGGGATGTCGCTGGTTCTTTCCTGGGGCTTAGAATGACGGGGTGGATTGCCTTTTCCCAGAATGCTTCAGCGATGACACTGGACAAAACACAAATTTAAGGTTAGGGGGTCATGACGGCGCCACAGCACATTACACATTAAACTTTGGCATTCAGGGCAGGACTATAGTCAATGCTCTCAGTTATACTTACATGAAATATTCTATATTCTTTTACTCTGACTCAGCTAGAAGAAAAAAAAGAGGCCTTAATCAAACCGGGAAACTACTGACAACTAATGACTAGATTCTGTAGGCTAAAAATGTATATTTCATCTTTTTAAATAACTAAGGATGCACTAATATTAAAATGTAACTCTTTACTGTATGTCCGATAATTCAGATTTATACTATTTTTTATGACTTTGTCTATATAAATGAAAACTAAAATGGTAAAAAACTCACTATTTTTAACTGTTGCAAATACATTCAATTATATTTTTTTAAATCTCTTATACTCACCAAGGCTGCATTAATTTGATCAAAATACAGTAAAAACAGCCATATTGTGAAATTT